GCTGCAGTTTGCTTTTGTTGCTGTTTGTGGAGCCTGGGCTGTCTACAGAGATCGCGTTTCTTTACAGTGTGTTCAGGGGACAGGCAGCCAGCGGTTAGTGAGGAGATGTTTGCTGTATGTGACAAAAAAAATTTTGCCCTAAAAAACGCGTGACATCGCTTAGAGCACCTTTAATCTTTGCAAATCGCTAGCTGCACGCTTCACAATGAATGCGTCTAAGGTTTACACTCAGGGTACATTACGGCATGTTTTCTATGTATGACGTTCTCAATATAATTCATAATCCCACGTTTATACTGAACAACGCGTTATGGTTATTGTGTTATTGTGTTACAAACGGTGTATGCACAGAACAGAGAGGCGGGGTGAGCAAAGCTCATTATCATTTAAAGTCATATGCACTGAAACGGCGTGCTGAAAACAGAGCTGTTTTTGACCAGGTAAAATAAGTGTTTTCTTACAATAATAATGAGAATTTTTAATTAAAGTATATTACAAACTTTTAATTTAGACTCTAAAGAATCACATTAGCTTGTACAAAAATGGCATTATATGACCCCTTTAAAATACAGGGTTCATAAGTCAGGACACCCCTATGTTAAATTCCCATAGAGGCAGGCATATTTTTATTTTAAAAGGCCAGTTATTTCATGGATCCAGGATACTATTCATCCTGATAAAGTTCCCTTGGCCTTCGGAATTAAAATAGCCCCACATCATCACACACCCTTCACCATGCCTAGAGATTGGCATGGATTTATTTCAGTTAGCCTAATAGCTGGTTTGATTTGCATTGAGAGATGATCTTATGGAAAGTAGTAACCCATGCCAATCTATAGGTATGGTGAAGGGTAATTACCGATTACTCGACACGGGTAATTTTTTAAACAAGTACTCGAATTTAATCGAGGAATCTAGTCAATATTAACCGTCACTACTAATAAAAAATAAGCATTTTGGAATTGCTAATAGTTTAAGCAAGATATGCATAGCTGCACATGGCCATAATTAGGTCTTAATAGGAGAGTTCTCCAAAAAATTTGAATTCTGTCATTACTCAAGTCGTTCCTAACCTGTATGAATTTCTTTCTTGTGCTGAACACAAAAGAAGATGTTTTGAAAAATATGGGTAACCAAACAGTTAATGGGCCCCATTGACTTCCATAGCATGAAAAAAAATAAAAATACTACGAAAGTCAACCGTTTGAATACCAACATTGTTCAAAATTCTTTTGTTTGGCAAAACGGTCTTTTACGTTTACTGTTACAGTTTCAGTGGGGGGCACATACCGATTTGAAAGCATAGTAGGCAGCATCAAACTCATGAGCACCGATTGTGACCTCTGGGAGATATATGGGGACGCAGGTCAGGGTGGCTACCCTCTGCTTGTCTTCCACCCTAGTGAATAAGGGAAAAGAATACATTTATTCAATGTGCTCAAGGATGTGGCCAAGCTGGAAAGATAATAATTACAGCCAATACTAGCAAAAGTCTATGGAAGAAAAAAAAAAAAAAAACATGAGTGAAATGTAAATAAAGCACTTACAGCATTCGCATATGGTGGAAAGTGACATCATCTTGCTCCAGCCAAGGGCCCTTCTCAAACTTGAAGTATTCAATATCCTCTGCAACCTGCAAAGGTAAAGTAGAGTCATAGAGCAGTGACATTTGCCTGCCACAATGTGCTCCACATACAGGTTTGAACCTTACCCTCTCAATGTCCTGGGCTTGGGTTGCGTCATAGACAAGAACCTCTGCCTCTTCACTGAAAATGAGAGGCAGTTTTTCAAAACTAAAACTATTAATAAGCAGTATTAGTAGTTTATTGAGTGGTTAATTGTTAGTTAAGTGTGATCATTTATTTATATAATATTATTAATGTTTTTATACAATTACAAATAATTACAGTACTTATATTAATTATAACATTTATTTACATTAATACATATAATGAATATTAGGTGCTGACCTGATTTTAGGAAGGAAGGTCTTCTTGTATGCAGTCTCAATGCTCTTCAGGTAGCTTAAAGGAACATTCTGGAGGTATGACTGTATAAGGCAATGAAAATTTTAATTCACTGATGTGATGTTAGTCACTCAGTCATCACTGTATAATCAGCGCTTCCTGAATTAATCAAAATCTCCTGAAATATATTCTCCTTAAATAAAAGCCTCCATGCAGAAAAACATGGAATTTTAAAAATATTACGCAAAATTAAAACAAAACTATACATTAAACCCAGCCATAATTTAATCATTTTGTAATCAATTATTTTGTGTGATAATGAAAATCTTTGTCAGCGTGTCATTTTTACACATTATAATCAAAATATTAATTATTTGGACCAACGTGATCCTCTCTCACACACACCTTTCCTGATGCCTTGAGATTCTTCTGGACCTCTTCAGCAGGTGAGTCGACATAGATGACCAGATGAGGGGGCAGAAACTCACAGATACTGATATTCTTAATCTCATTATAGTGGTCCACACCTGCAGAATAGCAACCAACACATACATTCATTTCAATCAACAAAAAACAGCTTTGATATATTATCAGTTGCAATACGACTTCAGTCACCAACAGCATTTTGCCTGCATTCTAATACTTTATCATATGAATTTCAGACATAATCACTCACACTGCTTGCGGATGTAGCCTTCTTTGAACATGGCCTCCAAAAAAACCATGTCACTAAATGGAGATCGTTCCAGAACAACTCCCTGTCCTGAGCAAGGGAAACAGAGAAGAGAGAATGACATAAATGTCCTAAACTTTTATATAGGAAAATCCATTCATGCTGTAGGGTTTTAATTTTTAATCACAATATCAACAGCTTTGGTTACCTGTAGAGAGCAGGTGTTCAATAGCATCAGAGTACTGCAGCAGCCTCATGAGGTACATCCAAGACTGCAGGCGGTAAGAGTTACCGTCACTCGCTTTGGGCTCCAAGTAGAACTTCTCCAAACTGCAGTTTCCATTAAAAGCCTGATCTAGAGGAACTTTCTCCTTTGTCATTTTGTCAACATAGTGTGTGTCTGGCTCTGGCATGTACAGCATCCCTAATGAGAGAAACATTGAAAACTGAACAAATACTTCTAGGAAATAGGAATAATAAAGAATAGAATAGAAAATATTATATTACAGTACATCCCAGTGTGTGTGTGTGTGTGTGTAGTTTTAAAAAACGAGGGAGCCAGAAATTGTCTTACCCAGTTTATCAGCCAATTTTTGTGCAAGTGCTCCCTTTCCAGATGCCAAGTTGCCATCAATGGAAATGATCTTGCTGTTTTCCTTGAAGCGGGAGGTTGTCCTCTCCCCCAGAGTATAAGCCCACCATCCATACCGCAGGTTACTGACAGCACTTGTGTGGATTTGAGCCTGGAGGGCATCAAAATATCCTGTTATGTTTCCTACCATTAAGGTGATGTAGTCTGACAGCAAGTACATATGTTGTCCTGATCAGTTGAAGTATCTATCTACATATGGATTCAAGCGATTAATTACTGCTGACACGTTTCTTTAATAGAAAACTATACAACAATTATGTTTTGACAGAACTAGTGTCAGTCGCACACGGAGATCCATTGTTAAATATTGGTCATGTCTGAAGTTGCATTGATTTAATAAACATATGAATAGATGCATTAATTTGACAGTAAGTAGTGATTTCCACAACTGTAGTTCTGCTGTTGTCCTTCAGTCTGAACTACATGAGGCCCGACAGAATAGATGAACCTTTCGTTCTGGAGTGTAGAGGCTGTTTTTTCAATCTTACCGTCGACACAGGCGATACTGCTTTCCAAGCTGCTGCACCCGAGGGCACAACCAGCCGAAATAACCGCAACGACATCGCGAAACTTCAGAAACTCCAGCGAGTCTGATGATCCTCAATGTCGCCGAAGGATCTCTGTGTCGCGTCGCGAAAGCTTTGCGTCATCGGTGCGTCATGTGGTTCTTCTTCTTCTTGCTTGTTTATGGCGGTTGGCATACAACTTTTTGGTGCATTACCGCCACCTGCTAGTTAGGAGTGTGGGTCAAGGTGGCATCATCCATTGTACTATTACTCCTATATATATATATATATATATAGGAGTAATAGTACAATGGATGATGCCACCTTGACCCACACTCCTAACTAGCAGGTGGCGGTAATGCACCAAAAAGTTGTATGCCAACCGCCATAAACAAGCAAGAAGAAGCAGATGATGGGATTAGAAGTGGATGATGGGATTAGAAGTGAATTTCTGCTGGGTACCAGCTCATGTAGGAGTAATATATAATATATTACTCCTACATGAGCTGGTACCCAGCAGAAATTCACTTCTAATCCCATCATCTGAATCCTCAGTGGTCTCAGTGGTCTAGTCTCCTCAACCCACTGTACTACCATTAGGATTGCAATCATTTCCTCCGTATATAGGCTACTGATCAATTATCTGAAATTATTTTATTGATTTTGACAATGAATTCTGGAACTGTGAATGCCACAACCTTGTTGTCTATATTTTTGGATGCATCTGAATATACCTGAACATAACTATAATAATTATTATCCTGTATACTTATGTGTTATGGTATTTGAGCATTTGGTTTATTTTTTGTCCCTTATAGCGTCATATCTACAGTAAGTTGAGGTAATAACCACTGAGGACATTTTTGACCATGGCGCATCATGTGGTTTCTTTGTGACAAAACCAAAATATGTGAAATTTTTAGTTGTCCATCTCCACCAGATGGCGCTACACTCATTTCCTGTGGTTTATGGGTGCTAAGATCGCGCACAGTCCAGAGATAAATTGGCTTTGTAGATATTCATTGTACATGTGAAACCCCGAAAAGAAATGTATGTTCACATTTGTGTGCTGGACAATGTGTGGCATTCCAGTGGCAGCAGCGTCACATCGTGCATCTTAACGAAGTACAGTAAGTTACTGCCAATAGATGTCAGTAAAGTCAATGGTGGCGTTTAAACTCACAGAACCGCGGACAGAAGGAGAATAAGCTGTTGCTATAGTTACTGTTGTTAGCTGGAGCAGATTTGTTGTTGGCTAATTTGGAGCTAGCTAGTGTTTTGATGCTGTGGGCGACAGTTGTGTTAAAATCGGCTGTCTTGTCAAATATACAGAGAAACGGTTTATTTCTGCTGTGACAGGGATCGGTAACTAACGTTATGTATTAATTACTGTCTTTACTGCTCTGAATCTGTGTTTTAAACGACCGACAGCTATCACAGATCACGTTTAGTCAAGGTTTTTAAATGTTCTTACCAAAGAATAGTAAGTCATGTAACGTTAACGTTAACCAAATTATTTTCAGACCACAATTATTTCATTTCTCTACGTAAGGCCGTTTAACAACGCGATTGTTGCTGTTAGAGTTTATTCTTTATTATACGTAATGTTTAGCGTTTATTGGGTATGAAACAAGACTTTTTATGTCGCTCAAAATCCAGTGCTGATTTGTAGTTACATTTGCAACAGATTTATCGCAGTAAATCAAGTCAAACATTAGCTAATCATTGCACACACTTATTTATTTATATCAAATACGTAATGTTATTGTATTTTTATATAAGCCAGTTTCTCTTTATGTATTTCCTCTATCGTGTAACGTTAACTTACATCTGCAATTACTCTGTAACGTTTCTCATATTCTCTGTTCTCTGTTCATTTCAGTCCATTCTCGTGTTGACTATTCTATTACTAATGTTACTATCCATGTGATCTAATGAGCGATTCACTCATATCTATACCTCTGTTAGGTTCTGGAGGATGTCTGGAGATCTTGTAGCTGTGTGGGAAGTGGCTTTGTGTGATGGTGTGCACAGGATTGAATTTGAACATGGCACAACCACAGGAAAACGGGTTATTTACATTGATGGAAAGGTAAAAATCTTTTAATACACATAGCTGACAATCAGGAGGACAATACGTGTAACATTTCAGTAGTAGTACTTGTAGAATCCACTAATGACAAATTACAAAATGAAAACTTGTTATTACAAAATAATTATTAAACGGAAACAAACCAAGGATGGACACAAATTGGATGAAAAAAGTTGCAGTTAGTGTGTTGCTATTTTGAAAATCTATGTAGAAAATCAGTTGCAGTGTTGTAGTGATTGGAAATGTCCAAGTATCGTACCAGAAGCTCAAAATTATAGTATTTGGAAGAAAACTATCGTACATGAGTCAAACGTACAGAATACAGCTATTTATCCACCAACAAACTTTTGAAACAACATGAAAATTACTTTATTGCTAAAATATCGACCTCAGCTTGGAAAAAACTGACCTAAGCGCCGGGGAAGGAACGTTAACTTACTTTTTTTAACTTTTTTCTTCTTCTTGCAAAACATACTGAGATGACATGTTAATGATATACAACTTTATTTACAATATACAAAAAGAACATTAACTTGTGCTCATGAGAGAGTCATTCTCCACGATGATTGGCCGAGAAGACATAACGTGAGATGAGATGGAAGACATGCGTAACACCACGTTTACGTTCTTCTCACGGTAGACGTAGAATCCACAGCTAGATCAATGAGTATAGAAGCTCTATGATTACAACGACCATCATTTGAAGTGTCACACAATTCTGAAATTATCGTACATTATGGGATTTTCATTATTGATCGTACAAATACGATAATTATCGTACATCTGGCAACACTGATCAGTTGCCAATTAATAATTATAAAATAAAAAAATATTTTAAAATAATTGATGAATAATAATGAAATAATAATACAATTTCCAATTTAAAATTACATTTTTATATTTGAATATTTTTGAAATGTAATTTATTCCTGTGATGATCCTGACAATTCAGCTTTCCATACCTCCAGTCTTTAATGTCACATGCTCCTTCAGAAATCATTCTTATATGCTGATTTGCTGCTCAAGAAACATTTCTTATTATTATCATAATATTTATATCAGTTAATATTTTTGTGTAAACCATTTTAACCATGTAAACCATGTTTTCAGGACAAATTTTTAAACCAAACCTCTGAACGACAGTGTACACTACTGTTCTAGTGCACACTAAGCCAGATTGTTTATACCCGTTGCCGAATAGGCCATACCAGGATGACATAATATTAGGAGAAGATCCGCCAACATGTTCTTTCTGTCAAAACCCGCATGTTTTATTAGATTGTGCTGGTTTTGACCCTGTGAAAAACTTTTTTTACTCCGTTACCACTCTTATACATTTTTTTATAAAGTTAAACCAAATACAGTTTTTGAGTTTTTAGCAAAGATTGATTGTAAAACCTGATATAGTTTTACCATAAATTTTCTCGCAAACAAACTAGAGCACTCTAAATAATTGATGAAAATCTATGTAGAAAAGTGGTTACCAGGGACAATTATGTGATCAATAATGCAGTTAAGAATCTGTATTCCAGAGAGTTGTGTGATTATGGATTTTATTTGTCACTAGAAGATGGTGATGATTATACAGAAATATGTGACGTGTATTTTATAATGATGATTAGAAAATAAGTGCAGGTGTCTCACCGGTTTGTTCGTGACTTTCACAGGAAGTCATACGTAGAGATTGGATGTTCAAACTGGTTGGAAAGGAGGCTTTTCATGTGGGTGGCACAGACACGAAGGCCACTATTAACATAGACGCAGTGAGTGGCTTTGCATACGAGTACACTCTAGAGATCAACGGACAGAGCCTGAAGAAGTACATGGAGAATCGCTCCAAAGTTACCAGCACATGGCTCCTTAACCTGGATGGCATCGACTGCAGGGTGGTTCTGGGTAAGAAATACCTGATCAAAGGTTCCTCAAAAAAATATGGAGTTTGATTTATCTGTGATCTGAAGTTTGTCCCTCTTGTTTCCTCCACTCCTGTATTTTACTAGAATGTAGCATCCAAAAGCAAGTATTAATTTTAATAGAAATAAGCTGACAACTTGTTAACGATAAACACAGTGTGTAAAGCAATCCTCTATTTTGCCCCTAAAGTACAGCTGATCTCTGAAATGCTGAAAGCCTTTCCTCACTTAGCCTCTGTGACCGGCCGCACAGCAGCAGTGATTAACTTTAGGTTAAATAAAGGTTTAAAAAAAGATTGCAAATCGCTTTAACTAATTAGTTCTTAAAGGGATACTCCACTTTTTTTGGAAATAGGCTCATTTTACAACTCCCCCAGAGTTAAACTGTTGAGTTTTACCGGTTTTGAATCCATTCAGCCGATCTCCGGTTCTGGCGGTACCACTTTTAGCATAGCTTAGCATACATCATTGGAGTGGACAAGACCATTAGCATTTCTAAAAAACAAATGACCAAAGAGTTTCGATATTTTTCCTATTTAAAACTTGACTCTTCTGTAGTTACATCGTGCACTAAGACCGACGGAAAATGTAAAGTTGCGATTTTCTAGGCTGATATGGCTAGGAACTATACTCTCATTCCTGCGTAATAATCAAGAAACTTCACTGCCGTACCATGAGAGCAGCAGGCGTAATGATATGACGCAGCGCCTGAAAATAGTTCCGTTGTGTTGACGGAAGGTGGCCTATTTTCAGGCGCTGCGTCATATCATTACGCCTGCTGCACTCATGGTACGGCAGTGAAGTTTCTTGATTATTACGCAGGAATGAGAGTATAGTTCCTAGCCATATCAGCCTAGAAAATCGCAACTTTACATTTTCCGTCGGTCTTAGTGCACGATGTAACTACAGAAGAGTCAAGTTTTAAATAGGAAAAATATCAAAACTCTTTGGTCTTTTTTTTTTTTAGAAATGCTAATGGTCTTGTCCACTTCAATGATGTATGCTAAGCTATGCTAAAAGTGGTACCGCCAGAACCGGAGATCGGCTGAATGGATTCAAAAACGGTAAAACTCAACAGTTTAACTCTGGGGGAGTTGTAAAATGAGCCTATTTCCAAAAAAAGTGGAGTATCCCTTTAACAATAGGAGGCACTTCTAATAATAAAAACACAAACATTCTCAAACAGTCTTGTGACCCTGATGGGGGCGCTAGTGAGCAGATGGCCTTAACTGTGGAAGAGAAACTTCCAAGGGACTTTCCAGACCTTTGATTTATATGTTTATATGGCTCATCCAGGGAGTAGCAACAAATGTTGGGCCAGGACTGTTTGAAAACTAGCACAGGCTGATATTAAGAACTCTTCATTTTTCAGATCCTCCCAACTGCATGTTATCACCATATAATATAATGTTATTAAGGTTAATCATTACTTGCGATAATTTGGCTTGTGCTTTTAAACAACAATGATGCACAGGTATTGTATGAAAATATCTGACAAATAAGCTAGTTAATAGGACAAGTCAAGTGTCAAAAAGAAAGGCTCAGCACAAGACACAAGAATGTAACAAAAATTCATAAAATAAGGCTGAGGTTCTAGATTTACAGGAAGTCACATGCTGCGTTCCTATTCGCACACTATCCGTCCTAAATAGTATTTGAAATGAGAATTGAAATGAGTATTCCAAAGATACCCGGATGGTTGACTTTTACCGGTTAGAATCCAATGTGCAGATCCAGATTCTATTAGAACTACAAACACGAATAAAGTGTTGAATAAGTGTTAAAAAACTACAAACATTGCATATGTGCGAGTCAGACGGTTAGAGAGGTAAATATTTATTCAATGTTGTCTACATTATATTTAATTTGCAAAAGCATTGTAAACTCTTGCAAATATACGTTTGGTCATTAACTTTTAAATGCATCATTATTCAAATTGCAAACACATGAGGAGAGTCTCCGCATAAAAAAAAACATGATCAAGCAGATCAAAGTGCTACTACATTTCTCTCCGAAACAGTAGGTAATTAAATTAAATTGAATGTGGAGAATTTTAACTGTGACAAGATAATTGAAAGGATACACATAACTAAGCGACAGAGCTGTCTGTTAAAGACACAATTATAGTCCGTGAGGCGGGGAGAAAATTGGTATCAAAAAGGGCACCAATTCTAATGGTTATTTTTCAAAACAGGCATGCCCCCTGACCACAAAAATGCATGATAGCAGTGCCATGTAGGTAGCTTAAGTCTTAAGGTATGAAAAATACCAATTTTACATTTAATTGTGCTGAAAAATTCTAATTATGCAAACTAAATCTCAACATTGATAAACATGTTTTATTGACATATCTATTGCTTTAGATCTTCTCTTTTATGATAAGATATCACTGTGAAATTAAAAATAAAATAAAATATATATGCTCTTTAGGACAGAAAATATACAACAAAATAAGGAAAATATAACACAATTTTGGAATTATATTAACACAAAATAATATTTTGTGCAAATATGGTTCAATATATCTCCCTTCGAACGGTCATATGTATTGCGTAGCTATACACTATGGGGAACCAACCCAATCAAGCTGTGCTATGATAAGAGCAACGACATCTTCTGATGTCAGGATGCTTGCATAAGGGTCCGAAGCAAGGGCCTTTTGGCATGACGTGTTGAACGGGCAAAAGCCCTAATTATGATGGGCCTGGCTCACTGAGGCTGACTTCATCACACAGAAAGGATATGTGCCTGCAGTGCAGGGACTTCCAAGTTATAAAACCTGGCATAGATGGACTGCGAGGACCAGCCGGCCACTATACATACACTCACCGGCCACTTTATTAGGTACACCTGTCCAACTGCTCGTTAACACTTAATTTCTAAGCAGCCAATCACATGGCGGCAACTCAGTGCATTTAGGCATGTAGACATGGTCAAGACAATCTCCTGCAGTTCAAACCGAGCATCAGTATGGGGAAGAAAGTTGATTTGAGTGACTTTGAACGTGGCATGATTGTTGGTGCCAGAAGGGCTGGTCTGAGTATTTCAGAAACTGCTAATCTACTGGGATTTTCACGCACAACCATCTCTAGGGTTTACAGAGAATGGTCCGAAAAAGAAAAAACATCCAGTGAGCGGCAGTTCTGTGGGCGGAAATGCCTTGTTGATGCCAGAGGTCAGAGGAGAATGGCCAGACTGGTTCGAGCTGATAGAAGGGCAACAGTGACTGAAATAACCACTCGTTACAACCGAGGTATGCAGCAAAGCATTTGTGAAGCCACAACACGCACAACCTTGAGGCGGATGGGCTACAACAGCAGAAGACTCCACCGGGTACCACTCATCTCCACTACAAATAGGAAAAAGAGGCTACAATTTGCAAGAGCTCACCAAAATTGAACAGTTGAAGACTGGAAAAATGTTGCCTGGTCTGATGAGTCTCGATTTCTGTTGAGACATTCAGATGTTAGAGTCAGAATTTGGCGTAAACAGAATGAGAACATGGAACCATCATGCCTTGTTACCACTGTGCAGGCTGGTGGTGGTGGTGTAATGGTGTGGGGGATGTTTTCCTGGCACACTTTAGGCCCCTTAGTGCCAATTGGGCATCGTTTAAATGCCACGGCCTACCGGAGCATTGTTTCTGACCATGTCCATCCCTTTATGGCCACCATGTACCCATCCTCTGATGGCTACTTCCACCATGTCACAAAGCTCTAATCATTTCAAATTGGTTTCTTGAACATGACAATGAGTTCACTGTACTAAAATGGCCTCCACAGTCACCAGATCTCAACCCAATAGAGCATCTTTGGGATGTGGTGGAACGGGAGATTCGCATCATGGATGTGCAGCCGACAAATCTGCGGCAACTGTGTGATGCCATCATGTCAATATGGACCAAACTCCCTGAGGAATGCTTCCAGCACCTTGTTGAATCTATGCCACGAAGAATTGAGGCAGTTCTGAAGGCAAAAGGGGGTCCAACCCGTTACTAGCATGGGGTACCTAATAAAGTGGCCGGTGAGTGTATATCGCCAATAGATACTCCACTGGACCATGCCCAGGAGGAGGCCATGCCTCTAGTGGAGGGAGCTGTGATGCCTATGGGGCATTGCAGACCCATAGAGGCATATGCTAAAGCCATAGCATCCACCAGCCATCGGCATAATCTTTGCTTTGTGATCAAGCACTGTGCGACCACCGAAGCTCATAAAGAGCTGCTCTGACTGTTTGTACTGAGCGGAGCGTCTGTACCGGGCAGAGTAGGTGTAATTGCTGCTCATCTTCCGATGTAGGAAGAGCAGAGAGAGTGATCACTTGTGCTTTAAACAGGGTTGAATGAGTTTGGAGAAAAGTATCAGTGACACCTCACATAGGTTTGGGTCCTGGTGACACTTCACATAGGCTTGGGTCCTGGTTTCTTGCTGAGCACCAGCCAGAGAACACAGACCACTTAAGAGCATAGAGGCGTCTTTGTGGACGGAGCTCTAGCCTCATTGATTGTGCTCAGGACACTCGCTGGGAGCTCCACTAGCTCCCGTCGAGGGGCCACACATTGAGGGCCCATAGTTTGGGACGGGGGGTGCCAAATCTTCCTGTTCGCCTAGGTCTTTCCTCAGGGGTATTGGCCATGGGGCTGCTGTGAGCAGCAGTATCAACTCGGGGAACCAAGGTTGGGTCCGCCAGAGAGGGGCCACTAGTAGGACTGAGTGTCTGCCCTCCCTGATCCTCTTTATGACCTGAGGGAGGAGCAAGACTGGAGGAAAGGCATACAGGGGAAGGCTGGGCCATTCGTGGGCCAGCGCATTCCTGCTTTTCGAGAAAAATATTGGGCAGTGAGAGTTGTCTTTGGAGGCAAAGAATTTGACCTCTGCCCTCCTAAAAAAACACTCCAGATAATTTGAACTGTTTGGGGATGGAGGGTCCATTCCCCTGGGGACGCATTGCCCCGGGACAGCATATCTGCTTCCTGGTTCAGTTTCCGTGGAACATGCGTTGCTCTCAGCGAGCACAGGTTGTTTTCTGCCCATAAGAAGAGACTTCTGGCCAGTTCGTACAGTCGTCTCAACCTGAGCCCCCCCCCTGGCAGTTTATATAGGATACTACTGTTGTGTTGTCCATGTGGACCAGGACATGGTGACCTGACAAACGTGGTAGAAAGGTTTTAAAACCACCGGCAATTCTAGGCAGTTGATATGAAACCGTCCCTCCGTGCTGGTCCAAGCTCACCCCTGACTCCAAGAGACTGGGTTTCGACCAGGGCTCTGGTGCAGTCATTGTTTACCCTGATATAGAGATGGCTTGAGCGCCATGATTGGGGGGAAACCTGTGGTTTTAGCCAGTACTGCAGTATGTGTAGCATACTCTGCGGACGTACTTGAAGCAGAGGCCATGAGGCCTAGCATCCTCAGAAAGGTTCTGTGGGGACTCTTGGTCCCCGCTCTAAACGAGCTTGCGAGTCGCTGAATAGCCAGAGAGCGTTTGTTCGATAGCCACGCCCTCATTGCAAAATTCATTCTTACCTGTTAAACGGAGGCATTTACAGACTGGTCTTAAGTTTAAAACAATGAGTTAAAGCTGTACACCACTATGTTTTCTGCAAAAAAAAAAAAATCACAATAACAATATTTTTTAAACAAGTTAAAATTTCGACAAAATTCCAACCTAGATATCACCAAGTATGAATGGTTTGGTACCAAAAATAATGAATTATAGAAATAACCGACCGTAAATGGAATTTGCCAAATGTTTGGGGGGTCAAACATAAAATTGGTGATTTTTTTTTTCCCTTAAGCTACCCACTAAGAATTGCTATCATGCATTTTTGTGGTCCAGGGACATCCCTCTGTTGAATAAAAAAGAGTAGCATTGGTGCCCTCTTATGAGACAAATTTCTGAAATGTGGGGGTTTGCCTCACGGACTATTATGACTAGTAGTATGTCCCAAAGCTTGCCTATTCTGATACACACTTAAAACTATGTACTTCTTCTTCATAAAAACAGTACATACTTTTAGGGCATATAAGTAGGCGAATTGGAACGCAGCAACAGTCTCACTAAATAGTCAGTGAGGCTAGTATGAAGACTGAAAGTATGGTGAAGCAGTAGGCCTATTCATATTGCTGTTTTTTTTATCTTGATCACTCATCCTGCAACCTGCTAATTCATCACTTATAAACTCTTCCATCAACAGAAAAAGATACCATGGATATATGGTGCAATGGACAGAAAATGGAAACAGCTGTAAGTCCAGCAGTTGCTTTATTTATTTTCATTTATTTTTAAGCTGTTATTTATATTATTTTGGTAACACTTTAACAATTAGGTAACTAGCAATGAAAAATATTTTTAAAGCATTTAATAATCTAGGTTAATGTTAATTTCTACTGTTAATTTTTCTGCTTATTTTAACTTTTCACATTTCAAGTTGTATAAAATAACATAATGTGTTATGAACAATCATAAGTTAACAATGAACAATATTATATTTATAACTTAATATTAACCTAGACTATAAAAGCTGTAAAAAATGTTGTTCTTTGCTAGTTCATGAAACCTTATTGTAAAGTGTTAATATTATTTTATTATTATTATTATTAAATAATTTTGTAAATAATAACAACCCCAACCCTAGTCTTAGTTTTAGCAAATACATTAAAGTATTTCTTTCTTTTTGGGAGACAATAACTTTATTTATCATACACTTTCGACTTTACAACTTTGTAGAACGTTTACATTCACAAACAGCTACAGTGCATGAAAGAGAATATATTCGAAAAACCATAATAGGGGCACTTTAGCACCTGTCAATAAAGGTCTTGCTCTTTAAAGTGGATATGACTACAGTAAACAGCAGCTGATCAGCCTTTAATTCAGTCTCAGATCAACAACACATCATATATTGCAGTTTTGGTACACTGGTGGAAAAACAATCCCATCAGATTGAATCAGCTTACTTGTGCAACTTATTTGTAGTAAAATCAGCAGAGTAGTCTAGGATTTATTTTCTCTCACTCTAAAATTACAGTACTGCACAACTATCTAATACAGGTTCGATTAATTCCCCTGACATCAACAGGGTAAAGAGAATGTAAAAATGTAGATAGTTTCGATTTTTTCACAGTGACTGATGTTTGACACTGTCAAAGTAGACGGTCACAGCCCTACTGAGCGTACCGGTTATTCAACATACGTAACTACCATAACTAGCATTCATTGAAGAGAAAAACATTGATCTTTCCTGCTCCTCAGGGTGAGTTTGTTGAGGACGGCACAGAGACGCACTTCTCTCTGGGTGACCACGACTGCTGCATCAAGGCTGTGAGCAGCGGAAAGAGACGAGATGGCATCATTCACACAATGCTGGTGGACGGCATGGAAATCTCAGAGTCAGAATGATCTGTGTGGATGAATGAGTGTGTGAGTGTGTTTGGATTATCCATCCTCATGAGAAGTGTTGAAATAGCATGTTCTGACCACAGATCAGCATGTGCTGGTTCAGTAATGGGCCATTTTAAAGGCATGAGAGACAGATGTGTCTACCAAACTGACAGTTTAGTAATATTTCTATAATACCTCACAGCAACATTAGAGTGAGTGTTTTAACCCTTTAAACGGTTAATTTCTTAATTTCTGGAAGTGATGTCAATGTGTTTTTTTCTTCTCAAGTTGCAGTTAACTTTGACACGTAAAGATGTGAGGATGGCTGTACCTTTACTTGATAGTTTGTTATGATGGCCATCATGCCATGTATAGACAAGGCTATTGATGTCAAATTGTTTATTCTTTGTGCGGTAGCACAATCATGTTCTTAATAGCATAGAGTGGTCTCCATGTGAATTAAATGTGAACGTGTACTTGTTTCGAATATTCTGTCCAGAATCTCACCCACCGACTTCCAAATAGGGTCAGACTTCAGCAATAACTTTCTTCTGGAAATATACTGTAATGTGACTGTGTTTTTAGACACTTTGGCTCAAGGCCTTGTGACAAGCAAGATATTTTCTTTCATTCAGTCTTCATGTGTCTGGTGATTGTGGTGAATTTAAGATGTTGTGACGTGTTAGTCCTTTAACATCAGCTTCCTTCTGAAACAATGATCTTAAATGTGAAAATATTTTATCATGACATACTGTGTGGAACTGAAAAATAATCTGAATCTAAATATGAATCAAGCTATGTTTCCCTAAGAAATGTAAAAAAAAAAACTATTTTATATTTTTTTCTTAGTAGAATGGAAATTTGATTTGTATTCAAATGGTGTTTTTTTTTTCATTTAAATAAAGTAGAATGGTGACATCAGTATTGAATTTAACCTCAATGTGCTGTTAAAATCTTAATTTGACCCTGATGTATTTCATCTTTTTATATGTAGAGCAACTCGTACACTACAAATGTTAAAAAATGTCTCGCTATGGTCTTGTTATATTTCTGTAATAAATATTTTCTTATCTAAATCTAAGGAAAGATGCATTATATATAGCTCATTGCTGTACAGAAAAGTCATCACAAGAGAGAATTTTGGTTGAAATTTGGCATTTATTTAAGTCAAAGCTTTCGATATAACTCAGTTGTGCAGATCACATACATGAATAAGAATGTCTTGATTATTGATCAAATAAACAGTCAGAGATCATTTGTTTTGCATTAATTCATTCATGAATTTCAGCATATACTTTGAAACTGTAAACCCACCACCTAAATTATTTACCCTCATTTGCATTATTTTCTGTTCAACTGATGAACTTATCACAAGAAATCTATTTTTCTTCACCTAACACCTGTTAATATTAATAAATGCATATTTTCAAAAAGACCTTAAGAGGCTATCTGAAAGAAAAAGGCAGTAGTTCTCAAAGCAGGTTAGGGAACATCAAAATAATAATAATAATTTTCACTGGCAAATATTACAATCAATAATCTAGTAATATGATTTAGACTAATGTTTATGAAGACCTTTATTTTTTAGTTGTAAAGTTCTGTATTTCTTGTGTGGCCAGATTTGCCATAATTATTTTTTATGTGCATTGTAATTGCATATTGCTGTGAGCAGCTACACAGCGGTGGATTTGTCACATATGATCAGGTATTCAGGAAGAGCTTGTTGACCGCTGAAGATGACACAAGTCTGTGCCCTGTCAGACACGCTATCATAACGATCCAAAGGGTCTCCCTTCATGGCAGGGGGCAAAATTAAATCTGGAGAACCAATCGTGCATCTCCCAGTGAGGACCTGGGCCTGAATGATGTAGATGTACTGCTCATGTTCCTGTTCCTTCCACAGCCTCAGGGCTCCGTCCACTGTACTGCTGAAGTATATTCCACTGCCATACCTTTGCTCTAGAAATGAAGGAAAACATCTTTAATGAAGATATTGTAACCTGATGCCAAACATCAAAACATCATCTGTACCTTAAAAACACATAGTAAATTCACTTTTACAAGAAATGCCTTCAGAGAAGAATACAAAACCCTAATTATTATTCTGAATGTCTTCACATTTGTGTTACCTGCAGGAGGGGCGAACTCTTTCTGAAAGCCAACTCTGCAGATGAGATCACAGAACTGAGCTGGCACACGCTGGTAGAGGCACTTGGGTTTGTCTTTCACTCTCTGCTCATTCCTGTCGAACAGCTGCTTCAGCACGATGTTCTCTAGCTTCTCCACCTGCAACAACCAGTGCAACCACATGCTATTAGATGCTAAACTTCCTCATTGCTGCCTTTGTATGTTGTTGTTGAATGAAGATGAAAAAAAAGCAAGAGAAAATTGCATGGCCTATAAAAGATTGATAAACACTTAAAAATAAAATGTAGCATTGTATGTATGATGTTAACGAATTCACCTTGATGATTCGGCGCCCAAAATCCTCCAAGGCTCTCCTTCCTTCTTTTTCAAAATACTCTCTGCTCACAGGAGTTCTTGCATAAAATGAACCTTTGAAAGGAGCCAACAGGCCTGTGGTGTAAAGAAGACTCTATCAGGTGAGCAGATGTTATGCTACACTGAAGTAATTACTGAATGTATTAAATAAATTCAATAGAAATATTAAAAACATACATGTCCGCTTCATGGAGCTTATTCTTCCACTGTTGTCAACCAAAATCATGGCCTTCAAGTTGAATTTGTGGTTATTGAACGCACGGTTTTCAATCCCTGCCAGATAAGCTTTCTCCAAAACTGCACTGATTTCAGGTGTTTGTATCCAAGGTTCATCTTTACAGCTCCAGCGAACCACAGAATACAAAATGTCTTGTTCTTCAGCTCGGGCGAAGTCCTCCTGGGCTTTACAAAGCATGAACTCCACCTCAATTGCCACACAGCTGACATTTGAAGGACTTCCAATGATGGTTATGCCGCCATTACCACTCCTGAAGAACTCTTCAATGTGAACATCAAACATTGTTTGGAGAGAGAGCAGGTGTTCATGGTCTCTTTGTCCAAGATATATGACATGGTTATTCTTTATTGTTTTGTTTTTTGATGGCTTTAGCATATTAATTGTCCACTCTTTTGCTTCTCTCAGGGCTTCTCCGCAGGAACTTTGGAACTCAACAGTGGGTGTTTCAATTGCTGTGGTTTCTTTGGATGCAGAAGCAAAGCCTGAAAGCATTTGAGAGTGATATAAGAACATTTATCTCAGTGGTTTTCATGAGTAGCTGGGCAAAGTGTGACACTTTTGAAATCAGAAACATGAAAGTAAATAAAAACAGTAATATATGTTGCTCACTTGTCACATCAATGCGTGCTTCTGAGGACTTTGCCTGTCCTTTCCTCCTTTTCATCTCGTTATCAAAAGCCTAAACATTATAGAAGAAACAAATGTGTGAAAAAGTAAGTTTTCTACTTAATTTCAGTTGTGCTTGATTAATTTTACCAACTGTGCTGCACATAATTTTTATATATTCACTTTTTTCATATTAGTAACCAAATGCAGATTGAAGAATTCTGTCACTGAAAAGCATAGTACACAATTAGAATATGTCACCTCCAACATTTCATTGTCCTTTGGAAACACAACAAAGTATACATCCAGTTTATTGATGCTCTGTTTGCCCAATTCTGCCACAGCCTCTGTCATGATTCCAGCAACATCTCGCTTCTGAAAGCCCAGATTACCAGTACCAATTGCTGGGAAGGAGATGGACTTGTATCCCCGAGCAGCTGCTCTCCTCAGACATTCTGAGACGCCATTTTGAAGAGACTACATACAACAACATAAGACAGTGGGTACAGATATTGACAGGCATAAAGATATGAATCACAGATAAATATATATATATATATATATTTTGTAAATGCCATCTACCTTATGGGACATATCTGTCAATGCAGTATGATATACTGCTGTACATTTCAGATAATTTCCACTTGTCATATAGAGATCACCACCTGAGAACCTTGTGGAGTTTTTTATTTTGTTAATCTCATCTTGAATCTTTCTGCCAGCTTTCATCCAAATAGCTTTTGAAATCTCTCCATGGGACAAAACACGGTCTTTCGAAATTGTATTGACAATTACATCAACCTGGAGATTGAAGCAAAGTAAATGTTCATATTTCTGTCACTCAGTTGCACATAATTCCACAATTTTAATTTGTTGTACAATTCAAACAAATTTGTATTAAAAGATTTAAAAGTCATGAGATGTTAGCAGTTTGTTATAATTATATAAAACAGTTGTGACAACTAACAACATCTCACTGAGCATTGTTGGGTGCTTGACATTAGTCTTACCTCTTCCTCCTCAATAAAGCCCCTTTTAAGGTGCAGTGTTACATTGCCACACTGCAAACTGTTCCTTGAAGAGGATGGCATGCTATGGCCTTGCACGGCCCCACTGTATGAGCCAATGATGTTGGCCGGATCTAAATTCGCTCTAGTGGCTCTCTCCATTTCTTGGACTGAGGGTTCATCATTATTGACCAGATGGATTTCCACATTCTTGCCATAAAACCCTTTATAATCATGGAACTGCTTTATAGCCTTTACAATAATTTCTGCACAGAGATCTCTTGGAAAATTGAAAAGGCCAGAACTCAGAGCAGGAATTGCAACAGAGGGAATGTTTTCATTTACAACTATTTGTAGGATACTAATAATAGCATTATGTAACAAGGGTGCAGCTTGATCAAGCTCCTTCTGGGATGGATTTGGAGGCACGTGGGGACCTACAGCATGTATGATACATTCACAAGGGAGATTTCCAGCAGGAGTGAACACTGCCTGACCGGTTTTCACTTTTCCTACTTGCTTAATAATATCCTCACTGTATTTCTGAATCGTTGGTCCCCCAGCATCACTCAGGGCTTGTGCAAGACCTCCTCCATGCTTTAGCTTCTCATTGGCTGCATTGACCACAGCAACCACTTTATGACGGGTAAGATCATCTTTCCAGACTGATATTTCCACTTCGCCGGACAGCTTTGTGGAGTACCTCTTCTCACCACATAAGGCATGACCTGTGCTACCAAAGGAGCCAGCCTCTTCCATATTATGGAGAATAGCCATGCAATTAAATTTTGCCTGAACAGCTTGGCAAAAGGTACTTTGACATTTTCCCAGAATGGCAGCCTGCTCTGCAACCAGTGGAATCTGTTGTATGTCACTCATGGCTTGTAGCTTCCTCGGGACACAGACCACTATGGCTTTGGGGGAAAATGAAGTATTGACAATTATACAAAAATATCTGACCAAAGAATCATTAGTGGAAACATCATAATGGAATTTGTACAAGATTTATATTGGAATGTCTTTCATAATTTGGAACCAATCCTAATGGATACTAGGCCTACTTAGGATCAATTAAGCCTCCTTTAGGAATCAAATAAAATGCTACTATGGGTGATATGCCAAAAATATTATTGTCAATATTTTTGTGACAGTTAATCTTTGACAGTAAAGTCATAGAAATAGGTGGCATAGCTGCCTACCGCAAAAAAAAAAGAAAAGAAAAAAAGAATTAATATTAGATTTTAAAAAAACTGTGATTCATGCTAACTGAAAATATTTTAACACCTAGTCTCTAATATTCTGTTTCACAAAGAAAGAATTTAAGATAGGAATGAGGGCGAGCACTGATGACTTCATTTTTATGAACTATCCCTTTAAACTGCACAACAATAACAGAACTGGACAATTCCGCAACATAAGAACCAGATAAAATTCGATTTACAAACACTAAAAATTAAGGGAGTAAAGCTAGTTAAGTTATGGTTTTGCAATCAACAATTTAAAGCATAAACGCCGTGTTTTATCCGTGTCCGTGATAATGCTGAAACGCGTCGTCAAACTGCAACAAATCCTGATCATAGATCAGGAAGTAAAGTTCCATGTAGAACTGAAGTGGCTACTTGTTTTTGAAATGACAAACACATCTTATCGTAGTTTTGACTAACTTCTATCAAAACAGCTTTCAATGACTGTCAAACATCACATAAAAAGTTCGTTGAATTGAAATCGAAAGCTAAAAGAGTTGCGGGACCTTCAATGCATTAAATGCGAACAGAGGTCGATTTACTCAATAACCTATGCTAATCTGTTTACTCACCTTTTTATTTTATTTACTGCAATATTTTCCTAGTTTTTTTTCCAAAACTGCGATGGTTTCACGTTTCGAAAAGAGACCACTAAATGGGGTTCTGCTTGAAGCTGAAACTATTTTTTTGTTGTTAGGGAAAAAACCCCGCCTCGTGCATGACCATAGGCTGCAAGGAAATCAAAAGTGAAAGTTTAGACATTCTCTGGTTTCAGCCTTTTACACTGGGTTCGACAAACACCTCAGTCACAGGGCAGACGGACATGGCTGGAGAGTTCCCATACGCTCTCTGCGTGGAGGGCCAGTGGGACCCAAACACTCCCAAACTAAAAAATAAACTTACCATCTATTTCCAGAGTAAGAAATCCGACGGAGGCGACTGTGAGGTGGAATACGGCGTTTCTGACAGACAAACAGCAACTGTTCGATTCAAAACAGAGGAAGGTGAAGTTAGCCTAAACTCCTTACGAATTCTGACTCCCTGTTATAGGCTACATATCACGCATAAATCGTAAAGTGATGCGTTTAATATTATAAGTTTCATAATATTGCTTAGGCCTATGTCGAAAGATGTTGTGGAGTTACCGTGGGAGGAGACCATGAAACGAAACTGATCTGGAAAAAAAAATGATCCAAAATAAACAGCCTACGCTTGCTCAATGTATGTTCTGATGTTTTTTTCTCAGTGAGACAGCGAGTTCTGAACAAACAAAGGCATGAGCTCAAGATTGGTCAAAAAACAGTGAAAATCATTGTGAGTCTTCCGTCATCAGACGCTTCAGTTCCTCATGTGAGTATTCAATATCACAACCGAGTAACATGAATGGCTAATACTTTGACATGAAGTAAAAACTAAACTTTGTTTTCTAGGAATCAACCTCTTCGGTCAGCACAATCACGGGTAAGTCCCGATACTTCATAATAAACCCTGTTCTGCTGCCCTCTGCTGGTCATGCCAGCATGAACACTTTCTTCCACAATGTATCCCAGCCATAGACTAAAAGTCCCAGCTAACAAAAATTTTAAGAACGTTTGGTTAAAGTTCCCATTAAGTCAAACGTTATTTCTGAGTGTTGTCCAGTAAAAAAAAAAAAAAAAAAAAAAATCCATGGTTAATAAACAGAAAGCATTAAAGGAACGTTCTATTTTATAACTTTGCAAACATTAGGCTATGGAAACTTTACTTTTGATTGTTCTCTTAACGTTCTGAAACAAGTAGTAGCCTAAGTAATAACATTTACAAATATTTCAGGAAAAATTCCATTAACAACTTATAAATGTTTTTGTGCTACCATTTTGTAAACGTTAATGGAACAAGGTTTGTTCATCATTCAATCTGAATGAGTTGAGTTGAAATTTTGATTTGAGTTGAAATTTTACCTCACCTGTATACAGTTTTAAAGTTGCCGCTGAGAAAAAAATTGTCCACTTCAGCATAGCTTCAATAGAATTAGCAGTTGCAATAAGATGAACACTACAACAATATTACAGTAATATTACAGTTTTTTTTTAAAAATGCTTTCACACTAAAAGTAGTACTTAAGGCCCACTTGGCAAAACTCATATACCTAATCTTCAGACCAAGTCTGCAAAACTGCAGCTTTACACTGAGTTTGCATTTGTAAAACAAACGTTTTGCAAACACAGTTCCCTTTTAATTGAGAACGTCAGATGTAGTCGACGTCGACTGACTGGGGATCACGCTAGGGCCAATCGTGATCCCCATTCAGTCGACGTCGACTACATCCTCCGTTCCCTCCTTCAGGGAACGGGGGTTGCATACACAACCAGGACGTTCTCTAGGCAAGGCAAGGCAAGGCAAGTTTATTTATATAGCACATTTCATACACTATGGCAATTCAAAGTGATTTACATAGACAGGAAATAATCATAAAATAAAAGCAAGGAAAATTCAAACAGTTATTCAAAAGCTTTACATAGAAAATAATTATAATAATCACACTATAGCAATTCATAGAGCTTTGCATAGAAAATAGACACAAAATGAAAGCAGGGGGAATTAATGCAGTTATAAAAGGAATTAAAGGAGATAAATGATACAGTTATAAAATTAATTAGAGGAAAATGAATTAAAATAGTAAAAAGATTATACATAGAATAAACTTCTCATCTGGCAAAACACCGGTGTATCTTATTTTGACTCTGAGATTTCCCCATGACGGTCAGTATTCATCTGTGGATTTTCAGTAGTATCTGAGCCCACCAGATTCTGTACCAATCCAGACCAGTAATCCGTTCTAGTCACCACAGTGTTCCATTGACCGTCATGAGTCAATCCCTCTCAAACTCCACCACAGGATTTAGTGCAAAACACCAGTTCATCATATCAATCAGTGCCATTTGAGTTCAGTTTAGAATCAAAAGGAAGAATACAGTAGTTTAGAATCAAACGGAGAATGCAGAAATAAAATATAGTGTAATCAGTCGAACGCACAGTGGCACAGTGCTCATTCAGTAAATGCACAGCTAAACAGATGTGTTTTGAGTCTGGATTTGAATGTGGCTAGGAGCACATCTGATCTCTTCTGGAAGCTGGTTCCAGCTGCGGCTGGCATAGTAGCTAAAAGCAGACTCTCCATGTTTAGAGTGAACCCTTGGTATTTCTAGCTGATGTGATCCTAATGATCTGAGTGATCTTGGGTTTATATTCAGTGAGCATATCTGCAATATATTGAGGTCCTAGGCCATTGAATGATTTATATACTAGTAGTAATACTTTAAAATCAATCCTAAATGTAACTGGGAGCCAGTGTAAAGACCTGAGGACTGGTGTGATATTTCTGCTCAGAATCCTGGCAGCAGCGTTCTGCATGAGCTGCAACTGTCTCATGGTCTTTTTAGGAAGGCCAGTGAGGAGTCCATTAAAATAATCCACCCTGCTGGTGATGAAAGCATGAACAGGTTTCTCTAAGTCTTGTCTGGAAACAAAGCAGACAAGGAGACAGGAGACAGATCACTTAAAACTAACAGCTCTTGTGTTTAATTTATTAAACACTGCCAATTAAATACCACAATCTTTTCCCAATTACCCACACCCAACGATCATGTGTGAAAAAAACACTTACATAAATTGATCACTTAGAAATCAAAACTCAATGTTTTCAGAAAAGAAATTATTTGTACCCTCTTGTATTTGTTTATAGTGTAAATATACCTAATTTGTTCACTTAGAAATCCAAACTTAATGTTTTGAGAAACAAATACATTTTTGATTCTTGCATTTCTGTTTATTTTGTAAATATATACTGAATATGCATACAAGTCACCTTTATTTCTGTAGCACTTTACACAAAAAAACTGTTAACATAACATGATGTATTGAATAACAAGTTATCTTTCTTCTGCGGCCAGCTCGTTTCAAGCCGCAACATAAACGAGGGATCAAACACCAGCGTTCAATGAATGATTTTTTTTATTATTTTCCTTAAATATAACAATAACCACTCATAACAAACATAAGTCTAGGGAAAATAAAGAAACAAAGAAATAACAAACAAAATAACTACAACAAAATATTAAAGCTACATGATATAAGATACGTATAGAAAGAAAATCAATGAGATGCTAAGAGCTGCGCCTGTGAGAAACTATCCCACAAAGAGAGGGTGCTAACCAAATGAAAACTCCGAGCACTTATACACTCCATTTCCCTAATTAGCAATTAACACGGGGGAGTGACTCAAAACTTCCACAGACTGCCACCATCAAATAAGGAGAACACTTGGGGCGTTACAATGATACAATGGGGTTAAATGGGGTTAAAGGCACAACTTAAGTAAAATGTTAAGGAATACATATATATATATATATATATATATATATATATATATATATATATATATATACATATTGATTGATCAACATTGATGGAACAACACATTTTGTGGCATAATAAATCATTAAAGTGGTTTGTTTTGCTTAAAAATCTTAGGTGCAATAAAGCCCCCAATATTGATATAAATACTTTAAAGACTCACTGAGATTAAAACCTCGTTTACGGGAGTGTCCTGGCCAAGATAGGCAGCTGAGTTTACATAGACAGTTTTTACATCAAAGTTACGGCACACATTAACATAAAAAACAGAAACATCATTACATAGACATAAACAACTGGTTAAAAACATTTACACACCATTCAATTATTGGGACGACATATACGTGCAACATTTCAACCATAAATAAATTATAAATGTTAGCTTATTTATGTTCATTACCTGTCTAGCGATGTATGTTTATGCTGAAATATAATTAAATAATGATTTGTATTTTAAAAAACATCTATCGCTTGTCATTATGTGTAGTAAGTTGCCTCACATGATTTATGTTTCATGCTTCAGAATTTCTATTAAGTGAGCATAGTGAGCATCGATGCTCCCTGGTTTTCACTGTGCATTGTGGGACTTTTTAAGGGGTGAACGTTTCAGTGCACTGGAAGGATTTTGCAATTGAGACAGCCCTCAAAATGGCCGACTCCCTGATCAGTGGTCACTGATCTAGGGAGCTGATTGAGAAGAACCCATGAACTAACTCTGGAAACAGAATGATTTGATTAATATCATATTTTTAAATATGATGGTTTCATATTTATCTAACCATGTCATGTCAACAAATGGAAAAGTCAGCCAGCTATTTATTATCATGTTAATGATTGTGCCTTTATCCCCAACAGCAGGGGTGGGGGTTTTTTTTACCCCAAATAACATACTTTTACATATTCTTCAGCTGTTGAAAAAGTGTTGATTTAATTACCTTTAACAAAACTGAAATCTGAAATCATTAACAAGACCTTTGTCTCAAAATAGATTCAATAATTGTATCTATAATTTAAATCTGTAACATTTTATAAAATACAAAATATTAGATCAATTAGCTTATAATCAACTTTGCACTGCAGCCCACGATTGCGTCAAGGATCAGCCACATTTCCACTTACATTGTGAAATGCAGATGTTTAGGAAAGTTCTGCGGCAAGTTTTTGTGCCATGTAGTGTTTTTAAGAAGTTTAAAATCAAATGCCTCGGTGCACCTTTAGCCTCATTGTACCCTATATATTACAGTTTTTCTGAATTTCTAAAACACATTTCTTGAAACCAATCAACCACTTTCTGAAAAACCTTAAACACAATACCAAATCACCAAACTACATTCAAAGAACATCTGACTCTTCTGGCAAAAAAAACAAACATTATATCTGTGCTCAAAATCAAACAATGCTTTCAGATCAAACACAGCCAGTCAAAATATAAACACTACAGATCATTCATTAGACACAACATCAAAAAATGGAGAACACAGCATCCAAAGCATGCAGTTACAGAAAAAAGTACAGTAAATTAATTTTGCTATTACTTTAATAAAAAGTTTAGTAATTGTAACTTACAGTAAGGTGCATACATTGTATACTGTATGCATTGCAAGTATAGTATTTTGTACTGAATATTGTATAGTACTGATTCAACTGAATGTCTGTATTCAACACTTGCATACTGTAAATTATAGTAGTCCAACTGCAAAAGCCAAAAAGTTTTTTTTAAATAACTCTAAATGAAAAGCATGTAACAGTACACTCAAAAGAGTTGTGCAACTGCAAAATCAAAGTTAGTGAGAGATTCATTCTGCCTCGGCATCTCTTCTTCGTGTTGGCTCCAGCCTGAGGATTTTGTCCACATTACAGGCAATAATGTCTCTTGCGAGGCGAAAGGAAAAACCCTGTGGTGTGCCGGTTCAAGCCTTGACAACACTGTCCACACCTTGCTCTTTCTTGTCCTCATCCTCTTCCTCCTTTTCCACCACCTCTTACACATACTCTTCCTCCTCTCCGTCTCAGAGTGTTTCCATCTATTGTTCGTATCAACATTCAGTGCAACTGTGCACTCTGAACTGACTTATTTTGTACAGTTGGTTTGATCACATCATTAGAAATAAGTGTGAACAATTTTGAGTCGTTGTGTATAAACGATGACAAGTGTATTGCAGTTGTGTTAAACTTTTGCCTTGCCTGCCTTGTTTAGCATTTTGCAACACAAGTGCATCACAGTGTGATATGTGTTGTTGTGAGTGAGAGTGTTTTTCAATGTTTTTCAAAAAGTGCATGAGATTTGCAAATGGTGTCTAACTGCCTGCACTTGTTTAAGGTTTAACAGAAAGAGTGATTTATTTGACAAATCGGTTTAGGCTATTGAAAATGTGGTTCAGAGAATGGGGTTTAGTGTTATCTGACTGTTCATATGAGGAAAATCTGATCACTGGGTGGCGTGATTGACCAATCAGAATCAAGTATTCTATAGCCGTGGACAAAAAGGGATAAGTATACTACTTAATAGATTTTATTCAGCTTTAGCATGGTCAGTTGCAAATGAAGGATACCAAGCGTAATAAATGTTATTTTTAGAAATCCTTAAGTTAATTATATATTTGTATCAGCAGCACAACTAACACCGTATAGAACACACCGTGCTGCAACAGGAAGTTGCAGTCTGTCTACACCAGACGTGACAAAGCATTGCAAATCCAATTGTTCTTTGTGTCAGAAATGGCATAGGTGCTTGGAGCACATCAGAAATAGAACGGGGCATCAGTTCATGAGAAATGTTGCACCACATTGCATCCAGTGTAGACAGCATCACTGATTATAATGGATTCTATTGTTTTTTGCTGCGTTGAGTCGCACCACTCACCACCATTGAAGAGACACTGTGTGAAACTTTTCAGATGAATGATGTTTTTATATTCAGGTGAACCCCACTGTGAAGAAGAAGAAGAAGAAGAAGAAGAAGAGACGGTTGAGCCACCTGAGAAAAAAGAAGAAGATACAACCCATAGATCAGCTGTAATTGAAAACATCCAAAACAGCGGTCAAGAGTTTCTGACAATGCTGGTGGAAAATGTGCTGAAAGGATCTTCTGCCGAGTCAAATGACTTCAGCATTGAAATGATACCAGAGAGCAATTGTGCTGTGGTAACCTTTTCTTATAGCAAGGGTAAGACATGGGTTGTGTTTCCCAGTAGAGTATACTCTTCAGATGTACATGCAAAATTGGAGGGGGTGGGGGGAATGTTCTGGGTGTTGATCACCTTGCCTCTAACCCACATTTCCTGTTACTTATATTTTGTTCCATATAGATGCAAACAACTTCATTGTATCCTGCCCAAGCAATGGAATTATTAAGAGGAAAAACATAAAAGTCAGATTACTTGAGATGACATCAAAGGTGAAAGCTGAAGGCTTACCCCCGAACACCAACTTAGACTACCTCATGCTCTATTTTGAAAAATTTGGAGAAGTAGAGGATGATGGGGTTACAATGGAAACGTATCAGTCAGCAATAATAACTTTTAAAAATCCTGAAGGTACATGAAGTGGTTACAATAAAAATCTTTTTATTGAATTTAATTTTGACATATGCATAAACTATACAATGTGTGCTTTTTCAGATGTGCAAACAGTCATCAACCATCAACATCAGATTAAAAAGCAGCCTTTCAGAGTACTACCATACTACGAAACACTACAAACAGCTCTATATGGTAAAGATAGACCCACTCTGAGACTTCCAGAGGAATTTACTGAGAAGATTGATAAGACTATATGGCACCACTTTAAGGAAAACCAAAAATCTCTGGGTTTAGTCACCCAAGCTATGTCCAGTCATTTTTGTGAGATGGATTTTCAATCCTCAGCAGTAAAGATCAGTCCTTCATCATCTTTACTTAACCGAGGCGGGCAGACAAGAAAACTCATTCAAACATGGAAAGAAAATGCCCTCTCTGGGTTCTCAGTGGCAATGTCTAACTTTAAATCCATTGAGCTCCACATTCAGAAGGATGCATGGACAGAGATACAGCCTGAAATTCAAAATACAGTGATGGGAGAGGCAGTCACACTGGTTCCCTGCACAGATGAAGGGACAATAGCTGTAGCCGGACTGAAAGAAGATGTGGACAGGATTGAGGGAATTCTGAGACAAACTGTTCAGAGAGTCACCCAAAGAATCCAAAGGGAGAAGGGTAGTGAGACTGATGAAATAAAAATAACTCCATCCATTTACACGCTTCTTTTCTGTGATGGTTTGGAACAGCAAATTCAAGACAAATTTCCAGAAATGGACATAACATACCATGCGCACAGCCAAAAGTTAACTCTTTACGGTCTAAAAGATGAGATGCTGGAAACAAAGAACGATATACTGGAGGCTGTTCTTAATTTAATTCGTAAACCAATTGAGCTCCACCAATCTGTTTTAGATTTTCTACACAAGAAGGATCTGGAGGAAATGTCCAAAGTTTTGTTTTTTAACAAAGAAATTAATGTAGCATTAGAATCTGATGGAAAGAGAGTTTTGCTTGTTGGAAAAACAGACAATGACTTGGATGTTGGTGAGAAGCGACTGCAGACAGATCTGGGTCATTTGAGCTTCAACGTAGAAGATCCCAGTGTTCTAACAAGATCAGATTGGCAAGACCTTGTCTCTCACATAAAAAACTATGTTAAAAATGTTACAATACAGACATCCATCAACCAGGTGGTGGTTTCTGGTTTTGTAGAGTCTATCAAGGATGTTGAACAAGAGTTAAATGATTTTGTTCAGAAAAACTCACACATAGAGAAAACTCTGAAGGCTCACAAGACCGTTGTCACATTCATCAAGGATCACAAAAGGCAGGATTGGCTTGAAGAGGTGAAAGGTAAAGTGAATGTGGACTTCAAAGATGAAACCATCATGATCAGTGGCCCAAAGCTTTATGTGACTGAGTGTGTACCTGTATTTGAGGACTTGCTTACGTCTGCGCATCACTGCACCATGAAAATAGTTAAACCAGGGGCAAAGAAGTTCTTCAAGGAGAAAGAGTCAGTGTGTGTGACATGTGCCAAGACAAATATGAATTGTTTGGTCCAATTAATAGACGAGTATGACCACCCACATGACACTGTTCAATCACAGATAATAAAGCCTGCTTATCAATATAAATCACATGAAGGAATTGAAATTACAGTCAACAAAGCTGACATGTGTTCATTTCAAGCGGATGCAGTGGTCGGTGCATGCAAAGAGACCCTCCTACTGGATGGAGGTTTAGCAAAAGCACTCTCAGATGCTGCTGGTCCTAAACTTCAGAATGCCTGCGACAAGCTTGTCAAAAGACGGAAGTTGACAACAGGTGATGCAGTTCTCCTCGATGCAGGAGGACGGCTGCGATGCAAGCATGTCATCTTAGCAATAGGACCACAATATAATCCTTCAAAACCTCAGGAGTCCGAAAAGCTCCTGAAGAAGGCTGTGAAGAAGAGTCTGAATGTGGCAGATCAAGAAAGCTTCCAGTCGTTGGCAATCCCAGCCATTAGCTCTGGTGCATTTGGTTTCCCTCTGGACCTTTGTGCATGCACCATTGTGAAAGCTATAAAAGAGTTCTGTGATTTTGTTGAAGGGGACATTGCACTGAGGAAGATTCACCTAGTTGACAATAATGATAAAACGGTTCAAGCTTTAGAAGCTGCTGTGAAGAAAATTTATGGGGTCAGTTCACCTACCCAAATCATAACAGCTGGAAGCAGTTCAAGCAGCCAGCAGCAAATCCAAGCAAGCTCTTCTCCAAGCCAACACCAGATAACTGCGCTCTTTCAAGGGGCATCACAAAGTTTTCAGACAAAAGAAGGCTTAACTATCACACTTATGAAAGGAAACATTGAGGATACAACAGTGAGTTAAATATTTACAGATTATGCATAATATTATTTGGTGTATTGTTTTTTTCTGATGTGCATTTTTGTATTTGAAATATCAAAATGTCTAGAGATTTAGTTTTTTTCTAAAATAAGAAGGTTTTTTTTTGTTGTTGTTCAAGAAGGTCTTAGGTCCTGTTCCTAAGTGAATGCTGGAGCATGATTTGAGCAAACTAATCATTTGTAAATAAATGCTCTTTTTTTGTATAGATGGATGTTGTTGTGAACACTCTCAGCAGTGACCTGAATCTTGGTGTAGGAGCTATTTCAATTGCCCTTCTCAAAGCAGCTGGTCCACAGCTTCAGGTTCTGCTCAATCAGCAAGTCACAGGCTCTGCAAACGTCGGAGCAGTCTTTGAAACAGCTGGTGCAAACCTGAAGAACAAACTGGTGTTCCATGCAGTTGTACCACATTGGAATCAGGGACAAGGGAACGAGTCAAAGGTAGTACTCATTGATTGATTTAGAGATTAGTATTCAAAATCTGATGCTTTTGATGACTTTTTTTATTCTCTTTGATCAGATGCTGGAGGATATCGTGGATAAGTGTTTGGGTCAGGCAGAGCAGCGTCAGCAGAGCTCCATTGTTTTCTCTGCCATTGGCACAGGAAACCTGGGATTTCCAAAGCCACTGGTGGTCTGTACAATGCTGGACTCGGCCTTCACGTTTAGCAGTAAAAGAAGTTCAAAGCACGTGAAGGAAGTGGTATTTGCTCTTCACCCCAAAGATACCCAAACCATTCAGGTATCTGATATATGATCTCATATCAGCCTTTTTTTAGATCCATATGGAGTCACAATTCCGCATTTTGCAGATTTTGTACAATAATAATGTTATTTTAACCCCAGTAATACTATATGTCGTTCACAACAGGCATTCACAGATGAGTTCAGCAAAAGGTTCATAGGCCAGTCTGCCTCAGCGAGTAACCCCACACAGCCACAGAGCACAGCTGCTCAAAACTTCACACAGCCACAGAGCACAGGTGCCCAAAACTTCACTTTTCATATACAAATTACCTCAAACTTATAATTAATTGGTCTCAATGTAATTTTTAGTGGATGTATAAAGTCAGTTCCCCTTGATATGATATTTAGTTCTGTTTTATTTTACAATGAAATCACAGGCCCCTTCTCAAAGGTCACAACGAAATCTGGGATTCATGAGACTACAGTGGGAGGAATAACACTTCAGGTCCTGAATGGTGATATTACTACAGAGAAAACTGATGTCATTGTAAACTCCAGCAATAAAGAGTTCACACTGAAATCAGGTAAAGTTACTAATTCTGAGTTAGTAGAGGGCTGATCATGCTTTTATACGTTACTAATGACTTTTCAAGCACTTGGCCTTTAATTGCTTGTTGCTTCATTTTATAAGATAGGAATAACTGAGCTGAGATTTAAATAAAACAAACTTTTATCTCAAACTGTAAAGGTGTCTCAAAGGCTATTATGGAGAAGGCTGGTCCAAACGTAGAAGCTGAGTGCCAGCAGCTTGGTGAGAAGCATGTTTTATTTCCTAAACTAAAATATTTTTATAAGATTTAACTAATAAATAAATTATATATTAAATAATACTTTTTAATAATCTTTTCACATGTCTTGAAATTTTACACAGTTTAGCACACAGAACAGAGCAGGTGGTGCTTTATAATTCTGGTTCAATGTGTTTTTCCAGCGGCCAAGACTAACAGTGGACTGATAATGACTCAAGCGGGGAATTTACAGTGTAAAAAGATCATCCACATTTCAGCACAAAGCAATGCTATTATGATCCAAAAACATGTTAAAAAGGCCCTGGAAATGTGTGCCAAGGAAAAGTTAACCTCCATTGCATTCCCAGCTATTGGCACAGGTGAGAACAGATGAGAGGGAAAGTGATATTGTTATATGTCACACAATGACTGTCCTTACATATAAAGAAAGCATATGAATACAATTTCTATAAGTAATATACCTGTATTAGTTTTCCACTTCACTTGTTTTTTTAAAAACATATTTGTATGTATTATTTGTACAATACATTACAGTATACAGCCATACAGTACATTATTTTCTCAAATTCTGGTTTAGCATTATATATAAATAAGTGGTGAACTGGTGACAAGGTTTTTTTTTTTTTTTATCTTACATTAACTTTGGCAGCCCACATTCTTACAATATTTTTTATATAAAAAATAAAAACATGACTTTCACTAAAAACATGAACATGGTTCATAGTCACATTTCTTTCTTTTTCTTAGGACAAGCGGGGTTGTCTCCAGGTCAAGTAGCAGACTCCATGATGGATGGTGTGGTGGACATGATAGGAAAATCTCCCCAGTCCACTCTCAAGCTGGTCAGATTGGTTGTGTTCCAGGCCCCCATGCTCCCTGAATTCCTCAAAAGCATGCAGTATCGAGAAAATGGACCTGCCAAACAAGAGAAAGAGAGTACATGGTCAAAAATCAAAAGTATGAATTTCATCACTTTCACTTCAACCTAATTTCATAGAACATGTAATTTTTTGAGTAGCCTTTAAAACATTACAATTTTAATTCATAAAACTGTGTAGTTTAGAAGTGCATATTAATGAGGTCATGCACAACAAAGATATCAAACGCGACTTGACTGATTTCTGTATTCCAATTTTGTGAATGTTGCAGCATATGCTAAATCCCTCATCAGTGGATCTTGGGAGAAAGAAATGAAACAACAAGGTGGCAAAGACTTTGTCATTGAAGGCGTGCAAGTAGATCCAGTGTTTCTTTCTATCTGTGGACCATCGCAAGCAGAAGTGGACAAAACAAAGCATTTCTTAGAGGATATGATCACTCAGGAACAAGTGTTCCAGTCTATCACAGACACAGCCATACTTAACTTCTCAGACAAAGACCAACAGCGAATCCAGGACCTGCAAAGCACTATGAATGTGACTATAAGGTTAGACTACAAAGCCCATAAGGGTTCAGAAGGGACCTCAGGACAGGCCACACTCACAGTACAAGGTCTCAGCCGAGATGTTCTAAAAGCCACTCAGGAAATCCAAGAAATGCTCAAAACAGCCAAAGAGGATGAGATACTCAAAAAAGAAATGGATTACACAAGTGAACTTGTGGATTGGCAGTATGAACAAGGTGGGCAATATAAAAGTTTTGATCAACGTACAAATTGGGAGTTGGAAAAGGCCCTCGGCAGCCAAGCTCCAGACATCAAAATTTCCTTCCAAGGCCAAACGTACCAGGTCAAACTGCCTGAGGGTCCTGCGGTGAGCACCACTGGAGGAAACAAGATGAACATCCAACGCATTGACAGACTGAAAGGTATTTGCTGTGTAGTATCATTTATCAATAAGAAAAAAGAAAATAATACATATATAAAAACTCAATTAAAGTGAATAAATGTGTAAATTATTATCTTTGTAAATAAAAGATGTGAACTAATTTTAAATGAGTAGTTATTTTTCTCCAGCTACTGAAAGTATCCCACAGCATTGGGATGCCATGGCACCTAATGACTTGTACCAAAAGTTTAATTTGCAACCGACCAGCACAGAATACAAAGACGTATTGGGGCGCTTTCAGGCCACTTGTCCAAACAACAAAGTCTTGAAGGTGCGTTTCATTTTATTGTATTGTTTTTTAGTGTTTTATGAACAGTTCATTCAATTTTATAGGATTCCAACCCCAGTTAAGATAGAATTCTTAGAATGGGTGTCGGTGGATCTAATTTTTTAATTAGAACGGCAGTGCAATAAATTGTAAATGACAAGGAAATAAACACATGACAACTTCACAGACAACTCAATTTTATACTCGTATTCATTATGGGATTCTTGTCTGGTTTTTACACCCGTTTTTTTTTATTATAGATTGAACGAATCCAGAATCCTGGGATGTGGAAGAACTACCAGAATAACAAAAGTGTTATGGAAAAAAAGAATGGTCATCAAAAGAATGAGGAAAAACTCTTTCATGGAACCAGTGAGCAGACTATCAATCACATAAATAAGAGTGGATTTAATCGCAGTTATGCAGGAAAAAATGGTAAATCATTTATTACAATCATTATAATATTCGCATTCCATCATTATATTTGAAGTGGTGTATATATGTATTTGTCATCTCTTAATTTTTCCTGTTACAGCTGCAGCATATGGAAACGGCACTTACTTTGCACGTAATGCAAGCTACTCTTCTAGCAACACATACTCCGTGCCTAATGCTCAGGGACATAAGCACATGTACCTCTGCAGAGTCCTTGCGGGAGACTTCACTAAAGGAGCAGGTGGGATGATTGTGCCACCTACAAAAAATACCAACTGTGACCTGTACGACACAGTTGTGGACAACCCTGCTGCTCCTACCATTTTTGTGGTATTTCGTGATGATAATGCGTATCCTGAATATTTAATCACTTTCACTTAGTCATTTGAAGATCAATCATTTTACACAGTGAAACTGAGGGCTTGATCACATCAGACACAATCAGGGAGAAGATTTTTAAATGACTGTACTGTAGTTCCCATAATGTTCCTTACTGAATCATTAAAAATCGAAAGGGCTTTAATGACGGAAAATGTGCCTTATAATGCCTTAATAAATATTTTTCTGTTGTTTCTGCTGTAAAATGTTTAACTGTAAAGTTTACAAAATTGTTGTTTAATTCTGATGATATTTTCACTAAATATGCACAAACAAATATGTATGCACATTTAAACAAACTGCACTGCAAATAAAGAACTTCAAAACTTCAAATTGTTTTATTGTAATTTCTTACACCCTTATACAACTGATACTTTTGACATTCAAAAAAGCGTATAGGCACAATCCACGTGTATTTGCTATTCCACATCTTAGTTACAAATATAACAAATCAATACAATTATATTTCTTATTAGTGCAGAAAGACATATTGTTGGAAAAATAGATCTTAGGAATCTTGAATTCCATTGTAACAACCAAAGATAATACTTCATGCTTTAAGATGCTTTTAAATCATATTTGTCTCTATATTCAGGAATTCCAGAAGTTTTGCTACCATTTCATGAGTTCATACTGATATTTATATATATAAAAAAAGTTAATGAACAAGTATTGTTAACAGCAATAAAGAAGAAACCTGTTTTGAAGACTTGGACAGAAAGATGGAAAAAGACTGAAAGCCATGTCAAGAATCACTGTATCACATAAAAAAGACTGAAAATGAATGAAACTCAAAGTATAAATGTGAAAATAGATCATGTATAAAATTGTATCCTACAGTATGGCATATGGTCAACATAAGCAATAAAGAGGAAATATTGTGTAGAATTAGGAATTATGTATTTAAATCACCTTTAAGGTCAGTGTCAAAGTGCTCAGTCTGTCTCATCTGGGTAGCACTCAGCAATGGGTACAAGATAAAATTATAAGATTAATAATACATTTTCTAAGTTATTTTGCAACTAGTTGACCTCTGTTCTGCTAGTTTGTCTTCTTTAGCCCGGGGAGAGAGAGTTCATACCTGTTTGAGAGAAAAAGTTATACATAAACACAAACCATCTGTATGCTTAAACCGTTTTAGTAAAAAAAAAAAAAATGCTGTGGGGTAAAAGTTAATGCCACAACAAATTTCCTTGACCACATTTGCTGTCCTTACCATTCTGTGGAGCCCTTGATCAGATCCATTTCAGACATATCAATCAAAACCTTTTGAAAAATATAAATAACATTTTTAATGTCAACATCCTGATAATGCTTTTAGTCTATCGCTGCCTCATATATTCATGTCAATCCACGTAATTTATCTACTTACCATTCCAATCTCCTTTCGCTCTCTTTTGTGAAGCATTTTATTGTTTTTTACTGCGACATCCAACTTTCTGGTTCTTGCTTCCTCCGGTGACACAGCAAACTCAAATCTGAAATGAAGAGTTATTTTAGAGATCTTTTCAAACAATGAAAATACTTGCTTTTCAAGATATGAAAAATGTCTCTAACATCTCATTGAAGACAGGGTTCACAGTCTTCTTTTTAACCGGAGTGCGCTTGCGGTGTTTCCACGTCAGATCAGGCAGGAGATACATGCGGACGTACGTGTCAGAGCCATTCTCGCTGCAGGAGAACAGATCCCTAAGGAGTCATGAAGAAAGATAATAGTTTTTATGATTCTTTCAGCTGTGTGGTAAAATAATTCAAAGGTATATATGTAAAAAAGGAGACATAGGCATCTCACTTGCAGCTGTTGACCATCACGATGAGCCGCTTCCTTAAGGTGGCATAACGCAATGTGAGTTGGATCTGCCCGAAGCTGCCCTGATGATTCAAGATGGCCCTTTAAATTAACATATAAACTCATTGGTGAAATTTTGAAGATTTTTGTAGAACAAAACATTTGAACTGTTATTGAACTGAACTGAATCAATACTGAACTGACTTGAGCTAAATAACTACATTATTGTCTTCTATAGACTTACTTATAGCTGAAATAAGCTTGTTTCATAATTTGATTAACTTGCACAACTAAACTGAATCAAAACTGAACTGACTTGAACTGAATAAAGATACTGTGCTGCTTTATAGTTAAACTGAGTTTACTTCATAGCATTGCTTCATATCTGTATTGTATTAAGCGCAATATAAATAAATAAATAAATAAATGTAAGTGTCACCATATACATACTCAGGATAAGGGACACTAGTGTCTGTTAGATCAAAGCGAGAAGAAGCTATTGAGTTCTCTGACAACAGGCTGTGGGAATCGTAGCGACGCATTTGACTGGGGGTGGACGGGCTCGAATGCAGTGCCTCTGTGCTCACGAAAGTGCTTCGTCGGTAGGGGGGATACTCTGCTTGCAGTTCATTAGAGGAGCTGACTGTAGATGGCATAGGGGCAGGAACAGTCTGTGTTCTGGAGAGTGGGACAGATGAAACGGGCACTTTTTCTTTCAGGTTGCTCTGTACGGACTGAACTGGAACTGGAGTTGGAGGCTCAGGGCGAGTTTGGCTCGATGAGACTTTTGCCTTATCCTGAGCTGGTGGAGTGACAACCTTTGGTTCCCGTTTCTCCAACGTAAGGATCTAATTGAAGCGAAAGGTGTGAAGTCATGTTAAATATTTACCAGCAAATAGTATATTCATTATTAATTTCTTAATATACAATAAAACATATATACAATAGAACTATATTTACATCAAATCCTTTCTTTAGAGGGAGACTCCAACCAAAAATGTACATATACATATATATATATATATACCATACTGTATATATATATATATATGTATATGCAAATATATATATATATATATATATATATATATATATATACATATATAATATGTATATGTAAATGATAGGAGAATTAAAATTTTTGGTTGGAGTCTCCCTCTAAAGAAATGATTTGATGTAAATATAGTATATATATATATATAGTATATATAACATAAAAAAATAACCAATACTGGTTCACTTGCAACAAAGATAAACATTGTTTGTGCCAACCACAATGTATTGTAGGAATTGAATAACAAATATAATGGTAACACGTTCAATTGTAATGTTGAACATTTTAATATTAACCTAGATTAATAAATGATGTAAAGTCCATTGTTAGTTTGTGATACCTAATACTTTAACTAATGTTAACATATTTAACCTTACTATTAAGTGTAACCAATATAATAAATATATTAATTTTAAATGTTTGATTTTAAGTTTTAGTACGGTGTTTGAGCTTGTAAAATAAAAAGGTGCTGAAGAAAAAAAAAATGCTGCTTTAGTTCAATCACTCACCCTGAGAACAGCTTTCATCTTGATCTGGCTATTGGCTCCGGAGCGCTCAAGCTGAAAACGCTGGTCCATTGTCATGTCAGACACATTGAGCAGCCGGACCAATGGCAGAGTGAGTTTGCCCAATGAGGATTTCTTCTCGTGTTCCTTTACCTGAGGTCACATACAAATTAGAATATAGATTTATTTTCTATATACTACATAATAATGCTATCAATTCCTGATGTTTGTTATATTTATCAAGCCTTTTGTATGGAAGAACAAGAAAAATTGTAAAATTGATTATTTTAAGACCTGGTTTACCTCAACATTCAACACTTGGTTTTTCACACTGTGCACAAAGAATGTGAAGCATTCATCATAAGTCGGGTCTTTTGTGGCATACACAATCTGTCAAAACAAATACAAACACTGCAGCTTCTAAATATCTGATCCACTATGTTAAAAAAAGAGGAAAAACTGAAGGGGATTGGCATTAGAATTATATAATCCAAATAAGTTAAATACCTTGCTTTTTTGACTTTGCTGATTAATGGAAAACTCCACGTATGAGTTGGGATCATTAGTTCTTCTGGTGAGCTGAAGTTAAAAACGGACACAGTTGTAAATAAAGCTTATTTAGGGAAATACACATTTTGATGATGTATATTCCAAGTAACCATTATGGTTCCCAAGCTTTTTCCATCAGTGATTTCCCATGACTTTTCCTTAAACTTTCCAGATGTTTGTGATTTTTTACAAATCTAGCACAGATTTTCATTTAAGTCAGGGAGTGACTAACTCAAGTGATAGACAAACAATTACGCGCATCAGTGTATAAACGTCGACAGTGAGACCAAAAAAAAACAACGTCCTGACTGGAATGCAGCTTATGGATGATTTAGCAAGCTGTGCATTAAAAACCACATCATGCCAAAACCAGTTCTGGCATCTGCAAAAAATATATATATATATTTTTGACAGAAGAAAAAATTCAGAGAATGTGTACAGGAAAATGTCCTGACCAGCAGATTACTCTAAAAAAAGATCCGGCCAAATGTCAAAATAATAGGTTTGTAATCCACTGACAATGAGGTGATATTATGATTATGGAACTCACATCATGAAAAAGTCCTAATGTTTCACCTTTTGATTTGCATGATGTGTATATGTGGTTAACGTGATCATTTTCATAGCTGAGCCACTGGTAGAAACCAGATGAACAGGTCGTTACAAGCAGAAAGAAGCAGAAGCAGAAATGAAAACCTGCGCCTTGACTTTATCATGCTCACAGTTAAAACGATATGATATAATCTCTGGAATGCTCTCTATTCAGTACAACATGGCAGGAGGCTGCATTCCAAACACATGAGAAGGAATAAGAGTCAAATTCCAAGATATCTAGCATTTTGACCTACCAACAGTAAAAGAAAAAAAAAATCACCTAGTTCACGAGTAAGCCTAATAGACAAACTTTTCAGAAAGGCTTAAAATAATAGAAAATTTGGTTATCATTTACTCACATCCATTTATTAATGGTGAATTTTAATTTCAGTTTATTCCTTGTTTGGCTTCAGAAGCTTGATATGGTATTTTTATGGGACCTTTTTGGAGCTGGCCACAATAAACCATAGTTTTATTTCTTTATTTATTTTAAACTCTATTTGTCTTCCACTGAAATAACAACACAGGTTTGTAACAACACAAGGGTGAGTAAATGATGACAACATTTTCATCATTGCATTAAGCCTATCTGTAAAGTTTGTTAATTTACCCATGTAAGCTGTGTCTGGATTGATTCTGAGAAGCTTAAAAGTAGATTCTTCCCCCATAAAGTCAGAGACAATAGTGGATGAAATGAAGTTTTTGAAGAAATGACTGCAAACTGTGTTGAGGCAATTTCTTACCCGAGCCACTTTGGGTTGTTTTCCATGCTTCTCATTATGGGTGAATTCATGTTGTTCTTTCTGAAGTCAAAGAAAATGAAAACCTAATTACAATTGTTTTCAAGTGCTGTGTTTGTTATAATAGGCTGGCAGTCTTTTAGAAGTGCTCTCATTGTGCAAGTATACTCACAGGCAGATTGGAGGCACTATCTAGATATACTGCCAGCATGGCACAAGCGAGCCCATCACTGGTCTGAACGGTGAAAATAAACAAATTAGAAGAAAACATGAAAAGAAACTTAAATTTGACCCAGACACAGTTTGCTTCTTTAGATATTCACATAACACATATTTTGTTAAATACACCACTGAAATCACGGCACATCTTTCAACTATCTGCCGCAGTATCTAAATCAATACAGGCAACTAAGGTAACTATTATAAATGCAATAAATACAAGCTTACCTCTTTCAGCAGTTCTGGATTTGTGAGCAAGGAAAACCACTGCAATTTCATATGTATCTCACCAGTCTCGATGTCCTCCAGAGTGTACCACTGCAAATCAAAGTCACAACTTAGTGAAAAAAAAAAAAAAACTTGATTACAGTATATCATGGTAAATTTTAGTACTTTTTTGTCAATGTTCAGAGAAGTATATCTTCTTTTTTTTTTTATCTCATTCCAATCAACTATCAGTAAAGGAGCATTATGATTCTATCTTTCTAAAGCTCACCTCGTCTATCTCTCTGTCTTTTCTCACATCTCCGCAATCCAAACTGAACCTGTAGCAGACAATCCAACATCTCAAAGTCTATCACATAAAATGGGTAAAATAATGACTATGAGCATCTGAGCATAATCATCATTACCTGCCCAAAAAGTCATCAGCGTCTGTGTCTTCGTCATAAAGTTCCACTTCCAACTCCTGTCCAGGAGCTTCATGAATGACAAACTATTGAAATCAAATATTAATGAGATCCCTTCAAATTTACTATTTCCCATCTGAAATGACGTGTGGGTTCCATTTCTGTCCCCAGGACATTATATATACAAATATACATAAAAATTAACTCTAAGATACATTTTATTATTAAGCCAAGTGTCCTGCACTTTAATCTAACAGAAAATGTCAAATATATAATTTAAAACATGAATTATTAACTACTTAAAACTGTAGCATGTTACCTGCCCCCACTTTAATGCTACATTTTAACATGAAATATGATTAACATCCGTCAGAAATCTTTTTTTTTTTTGGCATTGTTGTGTGCCTCCATATCCCATCTGTGCTTAATTTTTTTTTAAACAAAACAAAAAACCACAACCCTTACAGACACCTGTTCAAAACACTAGATTTAAATAGAAACATGATTTAACCGATTTATAAGCCTTTTTACCAGTAAGGTGTGGCTCATATTAACTCCTCACAAGTGTAGTCAAACCTGTATACACATATGGCCACATATTCCTGTTACCCAATATTAATTCCTGCTACCCAATTTTTATTCCTGTTACTAAATAGTTTTTTTCAAAAAATAAATAAAAATAAAATAAAGTTAAAACACATTTTTTTAATTATGTTTAGTCCATCATTAATCCAATTGTTTAATAAATTGCATTATTAAAAACAATTATAAACTTGAGGCTTGAGTCGCCTTTAATAGGAAAAAAAAAATCTTTTAGAACGGCACACGTTAACAATGTCTTTAGAAAACAACACCTTGATGTAAAAAAAAAAAAAGGAATTAGTTGACATGTTTTTAAACATTCTTTTTAAAAGACACGAGTTTTGGTAACAGGACTGAGAAAAATGCATCCATCTTCCACTTAAAAACCTTGTAAAAAAATTAATTAAATAAAATGACCTAAGATGGACCAATACATATTTTGAATGGTTAAATATAAGTGTTATTAGATTCAGTTTTAAAATGATGTTTTACACTTGAAGAGTTACACAAGCACATGGCACCCATTCGGTGGAATGGACCTTGAATATTATACAGATAGATTAAGGACCGCTCATAATAATTACCTCATAAACTTCATTCCAGCGTGGATTCAAATTTTCTTTGATGGTCTTTGTTTTGAATTGCTTGTTCCCGACCCTCAGCACAGTATATGGATCTGACTTGCCCTTTACTAGTCCCATCATGTGCGTGTCCTTTGCTACAAGATTCCGAGCCTCCAAAACATGGACCCGTACAACACCCTAAAGATGTTCACATGGTGTAACTTATTCTCCAGTTTGAAAACAAACACACAAAAAGCTTTTTGACTGATTTTGGTAATGGGAACCAATCATTGCCAGTCTTACCCGAGGAAGAGGAAACTTCATTTGGTCAACCTTGACTTGGTCAATCAAAGGGATGCACATCCGATTGGGCAGAACCATGAGAGAGGCGATGATGTCCACAATGGCCGATTCTGACATTTGACTAAAGAGTAAATAGAGATTCAGATTTAGATGTTGAGGAAGACTTCATATCACGTTACATATCAATTAAATGTGGCTGGATTACTCAGACTGCAAGAGTCTTACAGCCAGGTCAAATCTGTCCTGGGTTGCAGGATATATGGGCATATCTCTGATTGTTATAGAGATTAATGCGTTAACAGTTAGCAAAAATGACATTTGTTTTTTCCAATTTGTACTAATAATGAAAAATTGTTGTTTTGATACAGCATGTAATGTGTTACATATACAATTATGGCAGACTAGGAACAAAGAGCACAATAAGGTAATCCGTAATAACATTTTTGGAAAAAGGACACCTTTAATCCATATTATTACTACCTGTCCTATTTATCCCTCCACACACTGGAGGCTTTCAGGCTATACACAGTCGTCTATATATAAACTTGTATGACAACATTCCATGTCCTGAAGCAGTTTTGAGGATGAGTGTTGGTGGCCAGCTAGTTTACTTTTTTTTTTTGTTTTTTTTGTTTAGCCACTCCAGCTTTAATGTGACTGAGTTGCTCATGCTTATATATTACAGGGTTGGCTGCTTGATAACACAAAGTATACACACAATTTCAAGCACAACTAACAAAGTGCTTTAGTTATGAAATAATGCAATAATAATACTTTAATACTTCTAAGATAACGTGTATCTAACTACAAAAAAAAAAAAAAATCCCATTATTCTGACAGATTTTCATAAATACAACAAATGCACAAGGACATTTCAACATTTTAAGGATCTACACACATATTATTGAGTGACAATCAAAACTATTAATATCTGTGAACGTACCTTAGCCCTGGACCATCCAAAAGGTTAGTCATTCCAGTCCAATTGACTTGCAGAGCCTGGAAATGTAATTTAAAATGTTCATGTTATGCTAATGAACTCATGACACTTTTGTTATTTTTTTTACTTTGAACATGCCAATTGCTTGCAATATCCATACTCACGGGTCGGCGAATGAAAAACATGGTGACTCCACCTACAAGGGGTGCCTGGCCAATCAGAGGCTCGAGAATTACACGTAGCATCCCCTGAAGCTGAAGGGAAAAAAAAATAAACACATTCATAGTTGTTAGACATTTTCAAACTTTTATACATTAACTTGTGCTGTGTGGACTCTCCTAGATGCTGGTGCATTTCCTGTAAATACTCTCAAATGATGAAAAACAAACATTTGGACACAGATAATACATTTTTTGGAACATTGTGGCTGAGGGTTCTGCAAGATGAGCTTAAAAAAAACTCCTGTACACTATTATTCAAAAGTTTGTGGTCAGTAAGATTTTTTTTAAAGGAAATTAAAACTTTTATTCAGCAAGGATACATTTAATCGATCAAAAGTGACAGTAAATACATTTATAATGTCACAATACATTTCTATTTTAAATAAATGCTGTTCTTTTAAACTTTCTATGTATTCTGAGAAATATTTATCACAGTTTCCTCAAAGATATTGAGCAGCACAACTGTTTTCATCATTGATAATAATAGTAAATGTTGCTTGAGCAGCAAATCAGTACATTAGAATGATTTCTGAAGGATCGTGTGACACTGAAGACTGGAGTAATGATGCTGAGAATTCAGCTTTGCATCACAAATTACATTTCAACAATTTTTTTTGTTGTAATAATATTTAGCAATATTACTGTTCTACTGTATTTTAACATTCATTACATTCCTTCACTAACCTGAAGCCCTTTGACTCCTACTTTGATGGCTGGTTTAACATCTGCATCAATGTCCACATCAGCATCGTAACTACAGCAGATGAAAGAAAAAGAGAGTCTTAAAACATTTCAGGAAGTGATGGACTGTAGTGATAAAACCACTCATTCACGAGTTCACACGTACATGAAATCTAAAGTTGTATTTATGCGTATTTGGCTTGCTGTCCGGGGGAGGGCTCCGAGCTCGGAATTTTGCCCGAACCCAGAGTACTCCCCCCTATTGGGGTAGACCCAGCCGAGTGTGAGGTGATGGGGTGGTGAAGGGATGCTGAGACACTTGTCGTGAGACAGGAGGTGAGGAAAAGCTTTATCTATACCGGCTTCCTCTTGAGCTGATTGGTTGATTACCTGAACGTGCTCCTCCCGAACTTTGTTACATAAAACTTCATTTATAGCAGTCATATGGGTAAGCATGTATCAAAATGACATTTAAAGTCATAGCTTACACAATGTTGAAGTCAAGGATGACCTCTCTTGTCTCCAGCTCATGTGTGTACACTCGTACTCCAGAAACAGTTGGAGCCTGAAACACAAACACACCCTTGTAAACTCTATAATGATTGCTGAAATAGTTATGGTCTATTCGCAGTTAAGGACACAGAGCCTCAGATTGTGGAATTATACCTTCTGTCCCATGTGAACTTTAGTAAAGGTGAAGGTCTTCAGATGGGAGCTGGATGATCTTACGGCCGGCTGAATGTTTTCAATGAGAAGCTTCTCCATGTACATGCCAAAGAACGGCCATGCCTGCTGAAGAATCTACAACAAACAAGCACATTTAGAGACACGCATTTAAGGTAGAGATATCGAAATAGTACAGTCTAAACTCCCACAGGCAGACACATTTATGAAAAAGACTAGAGGTCTGCAAAAATATGTCAAGGGCAAATTAACTTCTGCGGCAGAAATCTTACCTTGTTAATCCAAGCAGCCTTCTCAACATCTGCAAAATCAATCTATCAGGGCAAAGAATAAGGAACACAATAATTGGACACTTTCAGTTAAAAGACCAGTTTCAAGATCAAGTTGTTTAAATATGAATTCATTTTCACCATATTAAACTAATTCCCTTTAATTCTGTTTTTCTTTTCAGTTTTTTAATGAAATATTAATTAGATTAATTCCTAAACAAGTTTGAATGCCACTGAAATATATTTTTTTTTTTGTGAAAAGATCAATATTCATGAATAACTTTATTATGCTCAGATGGGCTATTTAAATAGAAAACACCAGGTTTTTAGACCTTCAGTCAGGCATTTTTTATTTTATTTTATGGTATCATAGATATGTGTGCCTTTGTAATCTTTTTATATCAAAGTCAACGGTAAAGATCAGGTGTGTTATTATTTCACGCTGTTATTTTAGAGAGCAGCCTGACAACCTGAGACAGGCTTACTATTTTGTTACATAGGGTAGAGAATGAGATCCCAAAATGAAAATTTTGTCATAAATGATTTATGGTGTCACTAACATTCTTCAGATATTTGACAGCCTCACGTCTCCTTTTCTTTTCTTTAAACTACCCTTTAAGATTAGATTGGAGTAATTGTAGCCAATGTAAAGACTGTAATTTGAAACTTTACAGGTCCACTAAAATGGTTCTACACCATAACCCATTGTATTTATTTATTTATTTCAACTTTAGTACCATATTAAAGGGTGTGTCAGTTTCTTGTTTTAAAGTATGAAGGGCTGGGTATTTTAATTAAAAAGCTCAAGCTGACATCTTTGTGTGTGATGTTCCCAAAGCAACACAACAAGAAGCCACACCTTTGACAGTTTAATACCATCCAGTATTGTTTGGATACTAAGCAGTAGGCTAATACACAAATACAGTACAGTATTTACCCACCAGCATTAGTTTGCATCTTCAGAATCAACTTACAAATGTATATTTTGCACGCTGCACTTAAATGAGTATTATCCCAGGACATGTCAGTAAAAATGTCAAGAAGACCACGCACCCAAGCTGGCATGTTCATGGACTTGAGTTCAGTGTTGATCACGTCCTTCTCGTTTTCCAAAAAGTCAATGGCTGTATCGATCCTCCGATCTTTCCACCTGCGGTTGTTTTTCCACATTGTCCACATCAGAATGCTCAGAAGAATCCAACTGATGCTGAGTCCAAGCGAGCCGGTCAGGTACACGGGATAGCACAGGATAATCGCCTGCATCATGAACATCATGAACTCCATGATCATCTGATTGACATCCTTTACACTGAGTCCCTCTGGATTTCCATCAGAGGTGGAGGGCTCTTGACCCTCAGTGACTGGAGCACTCATTGTGACTATGGAGCCTGATTCTTATTTAAACGTCTGAAGTAGCGAGCGTCTGAATTCACATCATCGCCTGTCGATCGATCGCTAAACAAACGTCGGTTTTACAGGCTGTTTGAGATCAAATCCAACCATCAGATCGAGATTGTAAACAGAAAATTTACCGAGATGCGCTCAGCATCATCACAGGTGACCGTCACGATCTCCAACTGAGATTGTGAAGGCTCTGTCAGTTTTTGTGAACTTCCGTGTTTCCCATCCATTGGGCTTTTTACCTGGCATGGCCAATAAGTAGACACGCCTAAATTCCTCCCTTTTCTCTGTGTGAGAAAAAGTACAAACTCGTTCATGTAGTAAAGTTGACAAACAGGATCTGCCTCGAAACCAAAACGATTGAAAATGTAAAGTTGTCTGTTCGTGGAAGTATATAGAGACAACATCATTAATTAGCTGATAAAGAGTGCGCGGCCGAGATTTATACTGAAACAGTATTTTAAAGAAACATTAAGAAATGAGCAACAACAACAGAAGAAGAATCATATTAGTTGAAATGACAGATTATAATAGCTTAAACTTTTTATTGTCTATTTAATTAAAACATTCCAGCATTTTAAAGTTTCCTATTAGCCTACCTTTATTTATAATTCATATTTATGTGCACTTTTTTGGTTTATTTATTTATTTGTCTATATAAGGCTGTCATTATTATTACACCAAACATTTAAGAAAACAATGATTTTGAAGAAACATTTATATTTGGTAGTGGAAATTAACGCCATAGCCCATAAGATCTTTATTTCATGCATGGCGTGCTGAATGTTGTTAATTTTAGTTGTTAGTTAACAACATAAACTAACAAGGAAACGCGTTTAATAATAATGATCATTTCAGCATTTACAGGCTTCTAATATTTTTTTTTAATCAAATTTTGGACCTGAGCTAACATAAACTAGTTGTATTTTCATTAATTATTAAATAGCCTACCATAAGTGGCTATTGCTGTTATAGTAGTTAATTAACTAATGTTAACTAATGGGATCTTCTGTAAAGTGTTACCGTTTCAACGCCTATGTGAAATATATAGCCTAGCCTAAATAAAGCATATTTGATTTTTCAAGATTTCAAAAAGTGTCCCTAACAAGGTTTTAAATAATTATTATTAATTAAATGATGTTTTATTAACAAAGTTCGGGAGGAGCACGTTCAGATAATTAAACCTAATTAAACACACGTGGAGCACATTCAGATAACCAAACCTAATTAGACACGAGTGGTGCTTAATCAACGAGTTAAGCGCTGTGTATATATACAGCAAACTTACCTCCGTTCATTGACAGTTTAACAGCATCCCTCCACCACCCCATCTCCTCACTTATAGTCCTAATACTCTTACAACAACGGGGGGAGTACTCTGGGTTCGGGCAAAATTCCGAGCTCGGAGCCCTCCCCCCGGACAGCACGCCAAATACGCATAATCTTTACTCTGTTTAATTGATGTAAGTGTGAACTCGTGAAACTTTAAGTCGTTGTTGTACATTACCTTTCATGCGATTTATAGTCTTGTTTTTTCCAAGAACCCAACTAAGTTTGTACAAATTGAATAAACCTTGTTTGTCTTAATTGTGCCATCTCGAGGAGCTTCGAAGCCATTGCAGTTCAATACAAGAGCATTACTGTGACACTGGTAACACTGTGACCTGGATTGGAAGTGGAGTTGTATTTGTGTAATTGTTGGCTATTACGCCCGTTTCACACATACTCCGTTTACAGTGCGCGGTGCGTGTGTTGCGGTGGATATGCGGTGCAGGAGCAGCACGCGCTATAGTGCTTTCACATACGCTGCGTTTGCAGTGCGTAGCCTATAGCCAATGATCTGCGGCTGTACCACAAACACATAGGCCTACTCACTATTTGTATTTCAAATCCAGAAGTTATGCAGCAACTTTAAAAAAAAAAAAAGTTTTGTCAGCTTTGCGATTCTCTTTGTATAGCTACATACAAACTTGAATGGACGTATGCACATTTAAACACAATACATTTTAATTTTAATACAAAAAATCTTGCATGTCACAAAGAACTTGTTTTTTCACCTCCACGAATGAGACGAGTGTCGTTCATTGTCCTTGTTGCTTAACCCCGGTTAAGTATATGACTGTGAAAAAAAGTTGTATTTAATTAAATACATTTATGTTGAGACTGAAGGTGTGAAGGCGGCGTTAAAACCGAATAACCTATACTACACACAGGCCTGCATATTTCTCCAAATTGATGAACGAATTACACAGAAAGGCCATTGGAAATTGTATCATATGAAAAATCATGATTAAAACACATTTGGATATAATTAAATTATATTCTATATGAAAATGTATTAACAGTTTTTTTTTGTCGTTCCGTCTTGAATGCTGATTAATTGAATGATATAAAAAATAATATTTTTTATTAAATGTTATAGTTTAAACCACAAATTAATTGTGCATTTCATGTACGCTTACTTGCATTCATTTTAAGTATGTAAATGAATTTAAAATACATTTTATGGAGGAATCCTTTATCCCAGTAGTAATCAAAATCATTGTCAGAAGTGGGATTCGAACCCACGCCTCCATTCGGAGACCAGAATACCCATGTTTGTATGGAAGGTTTCAACCCTTGAGTCTGGCGCCTTAGACCACTCGGCCATCCTGACACTGAAAATTATAGGAAAACACACCAGTATCAATTTGATTAATAACTGTCAACGTTTTCTGAAAAGATATACAACTCAAGATATAAAATTGCGCGCCGGTGCACTTAGGTATACAGATATACTTAGGCTGAAACCTTTTTTTTACAGTCTATGGTTGAAACACACGACTTGGCCTAAAGAAAATACGACGCCACTATGTGGTGGAACTTGGATCTAATAATTTATGTATATCATTTATGTTTTAAAACTTTTCCAAATAAGCACACAAACTATTTTTTTTCATTGAGCAAAGGACACGTTTATCGTTTTATGAAGTATACGACAGGCTCTGAGGAATATGCGCAACTGCGCATGCGTATTGTAACCGCCCGTACAACCAAGGTTGCCAGGTCTGCGTAACAAAACCAATCCATGGCCAATCAAAACTACCTCAAAACTAACCCTAGTCCAAATATAAAAACTGAAAATGCCACTCCCCATACCTAAAATACATATTTACAGTCACTGTTTGTTATTCCCACAATTTTAACTTGAAAATCGCTATAGTAATCATTAACATATTTTGTTTTCATAAAGGAGCTCACAGAGGCTCAAAGCCGGCTAGTGTCCCTCCCTCACAAAACTTATAATAGGACAGTTTTATCATTAGTAGAATATAAATATTTACAAGCATTTCAGGCGAATTCGGGAATATAATTTTTGCAATCAATGTCAACCTCGCGTCAAGTTTGATATTGTGCTGGAAAACCGCGGAATTGGCAACCCTGCGTTACAACACATTCAACATGTGATGTGTTATTAAACGCCACAGGGGCGGGGCTCTGATTACCAACGTGCTCGTGGTTTATGACACCGCTTTCGAGTGGAAACGAGTGATATCGTACTTTTTACAGTCTATGGATCGTACTCATGTCTCTCTACCGAAACACAGTTTGGTTCCTGAAGGGTCTTCAGGAATATACAAAGTAAGTCATAATCGGTCTGTCTATTTTCGCCGCAGCCTGCCCATCACTTTGACATATAAACGGTTAATTTCCCTAATATCACCATCGATAGTTTGTGCAGTGCTCTAGTTAAAGTCCATTTTATTGTCATCAGGGGCGGTTATGAGGCAGCAGAGAGGCGCTTCAGCGCGGCGGATCTGGAAGTGAGTGTGAGCGGCCGCTCGTTCATCATCACCGGAGCGAACAGCGGCATAGGCAAAGCCACCGCCTACGAAATCGCAAAAAGAGGTGAGAACAAAGACGACTGCCATTCACTTCTACTCTCAAAGATCTTGTACATTCTGTCACCTTTGTTATGACAATTGGACGGTTCAACAAAAGGGACACAACAGTAACTCCTACTGGTAAATGATGTGTAGTGCTACTAAAAACCGCAGCAATTCAAAGGTCTTTCAAACGATTTTGTTTTTCTTCAGGTGGGACAGTGCATCTGTTGTGCAGAAATAAAGATCGTGCGGAGGAGGCAAGAAAAGAGATCGTGGAGCAAAGTAAAAATGAGGTAAATGTTATGCTTTAAATCATTATTTCACATGCGTCTGAAATGGAAGCAGTGAACTCTGGTCTGAGTTTGTCTCGTGTGCTTTCAGAATGTCCATGTTCACCTAGTTGACATGTCCAGCCCCAGGAAAGTGTGGGAGTTTGCCAATGGATTCTCTCAGAAACACATTCTACATGCTTTGGTAAATGGTTTTAATTTGGACATATCAACATTCCATAATAAGCTAAAGCAATAAGTCACGAGAGGCTGAGTGCATAGCAAAATCACTGTATTGCTATTATAATGTGACGACTACAGCACTATTATAAAATGGTGTGGCAACTCTTAGTCTGAACTATCCATTTTACAGTGTACAACAAAACATGTGTCATCTGTACATTGTCATGCTGTCTCCACTTGTGATTTATTGTACTTGAAATGTGATTTATTGCCATAGATCAATAATGCGGGTTGCATGGTCAATCAGAGAGAACTGACTGAGGATGGTCTGGAGAAAAACTTTGCGACAAACACACTTGGTAGGAAAGTTAATTCATGTTTTTTCTGATCTGATATTGATCATATCTTAACATTTTTCCAATAGGGACCACACAGTATGAGCTCTTACTACTTATTTATAATACTGAGTTACAAAGGTCAGAGGATATCCCTTATGGTAGAGAATGTTTTTAGGGTCACCACTTAAAATCTAGAGATAAGATAAAAGAGACCATTTGGCACACTGATCTTGTTTGTTTTACAGGGACTTATATTCTGACGACAGCACTGATTCCTACACTGAAGAAGTCAGAGAATCCAAGAGTGGTGAGTGTGAAGAAATGCATCTGTTCTCCTGCGTCCTAATGAGTAGAGTAATAAACACGCCGTTTGCAAACAGAGACAGTGCCAGCATTTATCTCTGTTTCCAAACACATTTACACTTACACCAGATAAGTATGACTTTAGTGACATGTTGGCAACTTTATGAATGTTTCCAGACTGATCTCATGAAATGGCGTATGTATGACACGCCAATTCGTATTTCCATTTTTGGCGTGCTATCAACACGCATAATCGCTTTTCAGCGTGTTTATCAACGCCTTTGACTTAACGTTATATTACTGTATTATGCATATATAAATATATGACCTACCCCAACCCCGTCCCTAAACCTACCCGTCACTGGGGTTAATACCATTTATGAGTCTTCTCCTACCATCCTAGGAAAAGAAATATCGCTCCACAGATGTAGATATAGATTTTGCTTCGTTTCGCTCGGACATTTAACGGCGTAGACATACACGCGGAATCACTCGGACATTTAATGGCGTAGACATACACGCAAAAGATTTCGGCGTGGACATACACGCGGATATTTCAAAATGCGTATAGATAACACGCCACTTGAATTGAAAGTGGCGTGTATGTTTACGCAAAGTCATGATGTCATGTTGATGTTTCAACAGAATTTCCCCAAAACGTATTTATTATTATTATGTTTGTTTATTTATTTATTTTTAATTAGTTACAAAACTTGCATGACTTGCATGCAGTGACATATTGGCAAGTTTATGTATATAGATAGATTCAGAATTTCCCCTCAAATTTCCTTGTTTTCATATATTATTATGTTTATTTATTTTTAATATGTTTTTTTTATTATTATTGTGGTAACACTTTACAATGAGGTCTCATTTGTTAATATTAGTTAATGCATTAACATGAACTAACAATGAGCAATATCTTTTTACAGCATTTATTAAACTTTATGACGTTAGTTAATAAAATGTTTGTTTGTTCTCAGTGCATTAACTAATGTTATTACATGGCTTGGTTGAATTCTAATGTAGAATGCGGTCTGTTATTTCTTGATAACAGACCGCTGCTAAGTATAAACACACCGTTGCCATCAAAAACAGAGTTTTGCCATGGACACAGTTCTGTTCACTCTGGAGGATAAACTCCTTTAAATCAATAAACTCCTTTTTAAATCAATATTTTTGTCAAATTATTGATTTATTTGGTAGGTAGCCATGTAATAAGCGGGATAATGTAGAGCGAGGCGGTTGTTATAGCGAATACAACCCCTTCAGGCTGATTCAAGACCTGATCAGCCTGTCGGGGTTGTATTCGCTATAACAACCGCCTCGCTCTACATTATCCCTTACTTAACAGATACAGCTTTTGCACTTAACAATGTATTAGTAAATGCTGAGATTAACATTAACTGTGATTTAATAAATGCTGTAAAAGTATTTTCATTGTTATGAAAATACTTTTTATAAATTAATTTCATGTTAATGTAGTTAACTAATGTTAACCAATGAAACCTTATTGTAAAGTGTTACCATTATTGTTTTTATTTTATATATATTTTTTTATTAATTATCATTTTGTTTTATTACAGATCACTGTGTCATCTGGTGGGATGCTGGTTCAGAAGTTGAATGTAGAGGACCTTCAGTTTGAGAAAGGCTCTTTTGACGGGACTATGGCTTATGCACAGAACAAGGTACTACTATAAATTATAAACTTCTTCAGTAAAAACTTTGCATTGCATTTTTTTTTTACTCTTATTATTACTTCCATAGTCCATAGACTACAAAACCATCATACTTTTGGTGGCTAACCAATCTAGGGCTGCAACAACTAATCGATAAAATCGATGATAATCGATTATGAAAATCGTTGTCAACGAATGTCATTATCGATTAGTTGGTCTGCTTACGTCACGGGGAGCGTTTACTGGTACGCACACACACGCAAGGTCTCTCTCCCTCAGGCGCTCTGTCGAGCAGTCTCTTCTGTCTCGCATGCGCGCTCTTGCTTGCGCGCTCTAGATTTCGGGAGTTTGAACTAATTCGCGGGCATCAGGGAGCCGCAATCAATATGCGAGAGACTCCCGGGACTTCCAGGATCTTGGGATGTCTGTATTTTGTCTCGAGCATCAGGTTGCGCAATCAGTTCGCTCGCAACGTAAGTGATGGATTAAAATAGCGCTACCGCAGAAATAGGTTAAATTAAAACGGTGTTTACAAAGTGAAGCACTAAATACAAAGGCAGTTAATAACAGCAGCAGTAAAATATTGTTTTTTAGTCACTGTACTCAGTGGTTTTCAGCGAATGCTTGTGCACTAATGCATAATTTCTCCTGTCCTTTACTCAAGCCTGTTAGCTTGCTGGGTAACGTTACCTCCATTCCGTTCTCTTTTTATAGCATTTGTCTACTAAGTTTTAATTGTTTTTCAAATGCGATCTACTGCGGCTCTACGTTCACACAATTGTTTTCAGTCTTTCTATATTTATTTAATCAATTTATCCTTATATTATATTCTTTTATATATTATATATAATATATATTATATTCTTTATCCTTATATTCCTTATATATAATTAATTTTAAATAAAAATTAAATGAATTATATATTTTAGATGTTTTTAGTGTGTTTTTAGTTCAGATATTCACATCTGAACAACATGTCTGTGTAAATTTGTTTTAACAAAAATTGTGTTAAAACATAATATGTTGGATATCATTTTTTTAACAATAATCATGTTTGTCAACTTGCCATCAGCAATTATCATTAAAAACAATGCAAATATTGATATTAGTAAAACTCAATGTGTGGCTTTTGCACTTTTTAAAGTACACTTTTACACATAAATACCCTGATTTACGGTTTTATTTAGTTATAATAAAAAAAAATCTAATTTAATTTCTATCCGATTAATCGATTAATCGGAAAAATAATCGTCCGATTAATCGATTATCAAAATAATCGTTAGTTGCAGCCCTAAACCAATCCAGTCCATCAATAATAAAAAATAATAGTGGCACAAGACAACATATTCCAGCAGCATCACCACTCTGCTTTTGTTACAATGACCATCATTTATTATTGTCACTGTGTAAGCTTTTATACATCGTGCAGCCTGATTCACTGTCCTCATGTTATTTCTGAGTTTATATTATAAAAAATAAAAAAAGGATTTAAAATATTGTTTTGATGTTTTCAGTAAAAATACTAGAGTTGATTAGTGTAAACTATGACCTTTCTCAGAGGCAACAGGTGATCATGACCGAGCAATTGGCAGCTCAGCACAAGGAAATCCACTTCTCTTCCATGCACCCCGGCTGGGCAGACACCCCAGGTGGGCAGCGTGTTTACATCAGTTATATAAAGTAAGATATTGTGCAATCTCAGTCGCTAAAATATTGTTTTGGGTTTGTGTTCTGTCCACAGCGGTACAGTCATCCATGCCAGATTTCCATGCGAAAATGAAGAATAAGCTCCGTACTGAAGCTCAGGGCGCTGACACAGTGGTGTGGCTGGCTATATCAGATGCTGCCAGCAGACAGCCCAGTGGCCTCTTCTTCCAAGGTCAAGCATCTTTATAAAGTGTGCAGTTATTTGTCATTTAGCAGCAGTGTTGGTACATGTACATTAGTACATGTAAGGCATTAGTACATGTAACGTGTGTTATGCAATCAGATGACTTTTTCCAAGTAACTAGCAAAGTAATGCATTACTTTTAAATTTACAACAAAATATTTTTTTCAAATAATTAACGCAGGTTACTTTGTTTTCCCTTTTTTATTGAGCAACAGCACTCCTGTGCCCATGTTGAGAGAAATTGTGAGTAATGTAGAGGCGTTGTGTGCGCTGTGTAAAAAGTCAAGTCACATTTATTTATATAGCGCTTTTTACAATACAGATTGTTTCAAAGCAGCTTTACAGAGATAACAGGAAAATAATGCAAAAAAGTTTGTTCCCAAAAGAAAATAGCATCACAGTCCAGCTGAAGTAAGTTCAGTGATTTTTCATTTTCATTTTAAAAAAAGTTATTAATTTAGTTCATTTTTAGATATATATATACACTCACCGGCCACTTTATTAGGTACCCCATGCTAGTAACGGGTTGGACCCCCTTTTGCCTTCAGAACTGCCTCAATTCTTCGTGGCATAGATTCAACAAGGTGCTGGAAGCATTCCTCAGGGAGTTTGGTCCATATTGACATGATGGCATCACACAGTTGCCGCAGATTTGTCGGCTGCACATCCATGATGCGAATCTCCCGTTCCACCACATCTGAATGTCTCAACAGAAATCGAGACTCATCAGACCAGGCAACATTTTTCCAGTCTTCAACTGTTCAATTTTGGTGAGCTCTTGCAAATTGTAGCCTCTTTTTCCTATTTGTAGTGGAGATGAGTGGTACCCGGTGGAGTCTTCTGCTGTTGTAGCCCATCCGCCTCAAGGTTGTGCGTGTTGTGGCTTCACAAATGCTTTGCTGCATACCTCGGTTGTAACGAGTGGTTATTTCAGTCACTGTTGCCCTTCTATCAGCTCGAACCAGTCTGGCCATTCTCCTCTGACCTCTGGCATCAACAAGGCATTTCCGCCCACAGAACTGCCGCTCACTGGATGTTTTTTCTTTTTCGGACCATTCTCTGTAAACCCTAGAGATGGTTGTGCGTGAAAATCCCAGTAGATTAGCAGTTTCTGAAATACTCAGACCAGCCCTTCTGGCACCAACAATCATGCCACGTTCAAAGTCACTCAAATCAACTTTCTTCCCCATACTGATGCTCGGTTTGAACTGCAGGAGATTGTCTTGACCATGTCTACATGCCTAAATGCACTGAGTTGCCGCCATGTGATTGGCTGCTTAGAAATTAAGTGTTAACGAGCAGTTGGACAGGTGTACCTTATAAAGTGGCCGGTGAGTGTATATATATATATATATATATATATATATATATATATATATATATATAGCCGCTCTGGAGTAAACCGTGATGTCATCGCCCAGCTCAGTTCAGTTCTTGTATAATAGTGTCAATGCAGGCAGATCAATATTATTGTTGAATATTAAATTAAATGTCAAATGTAATGTCCCCAACTAAGCAAGTCAAGCCAATGGCAACAAAGGTGGAAAAAGGCGACAGTGGCAAGGAACCAAAACTCACCAGGTGACAGAATGGGAAAAAAAACCTTGGGAGAACCCAGGCTCAGCCGGGGGCCAGTTCTCCTCTAGCCAATGAACGAACAGTGTATGATTATGATTCAGGCAGCATTATAGGTCAGAAATCAGATTGGTTAGGAACAATCAGAAAATGTATCCAGTTCCATCTGGTTTAGATCAGAGTCATCACACCGGGATGGAGACATGTTTGTTGAGGATCAGTGGTGATGGCTGTTGTGTCGATGAGGCCTTCGATGAGAGTCTTGTTGACACAATCTCTGCTGACACTTTAGGGATGCGTTGTGGTCGTATCTAGGCGCAGGTCCTCCATCTGGTCTGGATACGGCCCGGATCCGGCTGACTACATCATGCGTTGTGGTCGTGTCTAGGCGCAGGTCCTCCATCGGGTCTGGATACGGCCTGGATCCAGCTGATTACAGTAAACCTCGGAATAAGCAGAAAGACTAACATTAGCGTAGATTCCATTCTTCTTATGATGTAACGAGTACATTGGGTGTTATAGCTAGTGTTCCCGGTTCCGGCTGACCTAATTTATGCAGCATAATAATTGTTTAACTGATTTGAATAATAGGAATGTATAATTTTCTATGTGTATGCCAGGTTAAAGAGATATGTTTTTAGTCTAGATTTAAACTGACAGAGTGTGTCTGCTTCCCGGACAATGTTTGGAAGACTATTCCAGAGTTTAGGTGCTAAATAGGAAAAGGATCTACTGATGGTAAACATGATGGTTATTGTACAAAAACAGATTCAGTATTCCTCAAAATGAATAAAAACAGTGAAAAGCAAATTCAGAATATTAAACAAACCTGCTGTATTTAAATATTTTAAATAACGCAGGTATACTTTATGTAATTAATCTCACTTTATTAACCAATGTCTTTGCTGCTGACCTTTGATGATCCAATTCAACCATACTAATTAGCGAAATGGCTTTAGATAAACAGCACATTTGTGCTTCTTTTTTTATTGCTGAAGAAAGAGTGTTGAACTTTCTTCTCCTGCGTCATATAACTTGTGGTGTAAAATAGCCTTTACTTTTGCCAAAAACAGAACTTATTATAAACCAATTAAGCAAGCCTAGACCAGGTGAGAAGTTACAAAATTAGTTACTTTTTAGGAAGTAACTTAATATTGTAATGCATTACTTTTAAAAATAACTTTACCCAGCACTGTTTAGCAGAAAGTGTGTGTTAGTTTGCTCATCACATCTTTTGAATATGTCTTTATGTATAGCAGACTAAATATCTCTTTAATACCTCTCTTCCACAAACGGATTCATCTGCAGACAGAAAAGCTGTTTCTACGCATCTGCCTCTGGCCTTCTCCGGGTCTTCTCCAGCTGAAGACCAGAAGCTGATGACCACGTTGGAGGAGCTCGCTGTGAAATTCAAGTGTTAAGCGGTTGAGTTATTGGCCGAATCATTCCTCACAGAGATTGTGATATTCATTCTTAATAATGCAGAGATGTGAGAAGCTCATGATTTCTATACCAAATCAGGCTAACCAAAACAACCTAAAATGTATATTTAAAATATTTCAAACTTATTGTCCATTCTTCTGAACAAATACACTCCTAAATATTTTTATTATACTAATTTAAGGCTAGAAACTAATACATGCACTTCTGCTTTTTGGAATGGAAGTTGTATGAGTTTCTTGATTTAAAAGTAAAATGGCTGTGGTTAACATTATTCAAATGTGTTTTCTACATAAATTGCACACAGTCATACCCCAAACATGAATTTTAAAGCTGTGAGTTCAACTACCACAAGGTTTTGAGTTTGCATGATTGATGAATTGGACAACTATTGCAGTCTGTAAAAAACAGATTATTTGATTCATAAATCTAAAACTGCTGTTCCATAAAACCCCAAATTTTGAATTAGCCTCACAGGCTGGCCAAGAAACTGACATCAAACCTGAACAGCTGTCTGAGAACATGATGTACAACACTACCCGTAACCCGTACTCACACTATCATACAAATAGATGACTATGTAAACAAATTTCAAACTGAACAAATGTGAAGATGAACATATAAACAAATATTATAAATGTGTGTTTGCCTCTTATACACACTTACAAATGAGTTTATAATTAACTAGCTAATTATTGACTAAAAATTACTATACTTTTAAGTCAATTTGTGGCTATTACTGTGATTTTTAATAAAATATAAAAGCAATGAATCTGTCTGAATCTTTTAGGCAAATCATGATTTATTTACATTTTTATTAACAGTTATTAGCTTTACATTAGACTTTCTTATCAAAACAACTGATCAAATCATGTTTATGTAGGATTTGAAATTATTCATATTCATAGAATTAAAGAGCCATTACAAACAAAGAATTTGACTATCATGTGACAAAAAATAAGGGCTTTTAATTCAAGGTGAACAAAGACTTTACTCCCATTACTTACATTACTGTTCAAAAGTTTGGGGTCAATAAGATTTTCTTTAATTAATACTTTTATTCTGCAAGAACACATTAAAATAATCAACAGTGACAGTAAATACATTTATAATTTTACAAATAAAAAAATAAATGCTGTTCTTTTGCTCACAGAATCCTGAAAATAAATGCATCAGTTTCCACAAAATATTGAGTAGCACAACTGTCAACACTGATATTTTTTTTAACGAATACCAAATCAGCATATTCAAATGATTTCTGAAGGATCATGTGACACTGAAGACTGGAGTGGCTGCAAATTCAGCTTTGCCATCAGAAATAAATTGCTTTTTAAAATATATACAAATAGAATAAATGCAGCCTTTGTGAGCATAAGAGACTTCCTTCAAAAACATTTTTTAAAAACTGACCCCAAACTACAATGATTTGCTTTAAAATGAACCAGTATCCATATAAGTCAAATGAGTCCTTTTCAAAAACACTAACCTCGCCATAATCATTCAGCTGTAGCGTTTCACATATTGTGGCTTTACAGTGACCTCTTAAAAATGCTCAAATGTCCATATTGTGCTATAGGACAGGACACTCACTTTGCAAGTCATTATGGAAGCCTTGCTTGATTTAACATACAGCAAAAATTGTGCCTGAGGAAAGACATCCAATTTCTCATTGCCATTGAAAGAATGAAATACAGTGAATGTTTCTTACAGTAATGAGATGTCTATGAAACATCAGCTTTAATCAAACCAAACACAATATTATTACAATAAAGCATTACTGAATTTTACCCTGTATAAACAACATCTGTGATTATGTGTATCCTTAATTCTCCTATTAAATTTCCTGGTGTAAAAATACCAGTAAAATTAAGTGCTTACATTTAAAGAGTCAAGATTAACAGATCATGACCAAGAGTCAATAGCAGACAGTATTTTCCCATGCCAAAACCACTGATTGATGTGCGGTAAAGGCACTTGAATATAAAAACAGTTCCAGCATGCTTTGATGCAATATCAGGAGGATTCATTTGTGTTTGGGATAAGACATAAGATGATGAAAGAATATTTTACAGACAACATAACATTTAGGTCATGTCAATATAAACAATTAGAACTAAACAGTTTTAGACTGGAAAGTATTTACATGTTTGTTTCCATAACCCACATGCACAAATACATACAAATGCACATGCTCAGTTTAAACCATCATTTAAATCTCATGATATCCTTGAGTTTTTCCACCATGAGATGAAGCTGCCCATGGAAAGGGACCTGAACTCTGAACGTTCTCCGTGGTTCAGGTTCAGAACGGATTCTTAGTTCTTGCTTGCAGACGATAGAGATAATTCTCATGATACCACTGGAGTCATGTCCCATAGCTGCATGTAAACACACCACAGATTTTAAAATGATTTCAATCTCCAACCACAATTTATCAAACAGTACACTCACACTCTTGTGTGAGAACAGTGACCGACCTTGATGACTCTGTCTGTCCCGGAGGTGAGCAGCCAGCCTCTGGTTGGTTCATACTGCATATGTATGATGCTGTGCTTACTGTCATGGAACGTTGCAGTGGGCGCCCGTCTGGATAAGAGGAAAGCTTTGGGTGATCCTATCATTTGAGATAGTCAAAACATTGAAGACAATAAAAATTGTACTTACTCCTCATCTGTAATGGAGTCGTGACAACTGTCACAAACCCGCACTTCAAACTCAAATCCCATGAGAGGAATCGTGGAACGTTTAGAGGAGCACTTTCCACAAACGGCTTGGCCACACTTCCTGCAGTGATGCTGGGAAAGAGAGCAAAATTAAGCTGCTTCAAATTATATTCAAGATTTGGCTGAATAAAGTACTGCAAACAACCATTTAACTAAACCAGAAAAACTAAATTTGAGATATATTTTCTGAAAACCATTTACAGTCCTCAGATCGATTTATTTGATGCTAAAATATTTTTAAGCTTAATTACAGATTTGTATTTTAAAACTTGTTTTAATACATATTTTTAAACTTAAAGAGTTAGATCACCCAAAAATGAAAATTCTGTCAGTAATTACTCACCCTCATGTTGTTCCAACCCCGTGAGACTTTCGTTCATCTTCGGAACACAAATGAAGATGTTTTTGATGAAATCCGAGAGCTGGATCACTCCTTCATAGTAAAAACATCGTTAAAATTGTCCAAGTGACAACAGTGGCTCAACCTTAAGTTTATCAAGCGACGAGGATACTTTTTGTGTGCAAAAAAACTAAAATAACAACTTTATTAAACTATTTATTTTCTTCTGTGTGAGACTCTGACGTGAGTTCACGAGTGCGCCTCGACCCATGCGCAAGAACTGAGAAGATAAGCTCACGATCATTTGATGGGAAAGTGTGAAAGGTAAGCCATTCATTTTGCGGCATTGGTAAGGCACTTTTACGTTTTCTCGTTGGCTTCTCACGATTCGGACATCCAGGAAATGCACACTTTAGAACAATTTTAAACACTATTGAGACCCATCTGCGTCATCTTCTCAGTTCTCGCGCATGGGTCTTGGTGCTTTCGTGAACTCACGTCAGAGGCCCACACAGAAGAAAATGAATAGTTGAATAAAGTCAGTCATTTTTTTTTTTTGCGCACAAAAAGTATTCTCGTCGCTTGATAAACTTAAGGTTGAGCCACTGTTTTTAACGATGTTTTTACTAACTTTTCTGGACCGGCAGAATGAAATTGCCTAGAAGCCTATGAAGGAGTGAGACAGCTCTCAGATTTCATCAAAAATATCTTCATTTGTGTTCCAAAGATGAACGAAAGTCTTACAGGGTTGGAACAACATGAAGGTGAGTAATTACTGACAGAATTTTCATATTTGGGTGAACTAACCCTTTAATGCAATACACACTGCGGTTCAAAAGTTTTGGGTCAATAAAACTGGAGATAAATAAAACACACAAGTATGCATTAAATGAATTTGAAGTGACAGTAAAGACATTTACTGTTACAAAAGATTTCTATTTAAAATAAATGCTGTTCTTTTGAACTTTCTATTCATCAAATAATCCTGAAAAAATATCAATGATTCTACAAAGATTTCAAGCTGCACAACTGTTTTCAACATTGATAATAATAAGAAATGTTTCTTGAGCAGCAAATCAGCATATTAAAATGATTTCTGAAGGATCATGTGACACTCAAGACTGGTGAATGATGCTAAAACGTTGCCATCACAGGAATAAATTACATTTTAAAATATATAAAATTAAATAAAAATACACAATATTATTGTTTTCACTATATTTGTATTAATTTATTCAAATAAATGTGGCCTTGGTGAACATAAGCATAAATATATATATATATTTTTTTTTATTGTACTGCAAATTCTATAAAAGTCTTTAGATTTTCAAATAAATGTATCTTGTTTTAAAGATGTTTAGATTTTTTGTTTAAGATTTTGCTGTAAAATAAGACAAAATATATATATTTTTAATTATTATTGAAGGGACAATGTGTACTTTTTTATGTATTTTATTATTTAAAATCAATATTTTTATTCATAAATATGTCCTCAATGGTGTTCAAATACCTCTGCCAATTATCTGATTTATCCTCGTAAACGAAGAATTTATTATCTTTATACACATGGGAAGGGTAGGTCCACGGAGGCTTCCATCATGTAGTTCTGCCATCTTGAAAAACAAATAATAGCAGAGAGGGACAAAAAGTACTAGGCCAACGCGTTTTTTTCACAGCGCGTTTTCGTTCAGAGCCAGCGTGACGTAACTGAAAGCAGCAGAAGCGGAGGAGCAGAGCAGTGAGAGGTGCTTGTCACTGCCCCGGCAAGTTTAAAAGGCTGCATTGCAAATCCTCATCGCCAGAAAAGTCCAAAATAGATCGTAAAAGGAAACGTGAACGGAGATTACAAAAAGCTAATGCAGGAGAAAGATTTCAAAAGAGACGCTGAAGTTGCCTGCTTTCTTCTCGACTGGTAAGTCAATGTTACAGTCTTAATTACAAGCTTTTTTTCATTGTTTGGTTGTGTACTTTATTTTATAGACAGATGAACATTTATAGTTAAAAGTTGATGATGATATCTAACAATGCACGTACTTCAGAAAATATAACGAATAAAGAAGGCATAACCACTTATTACAATAGTTCATGTTTTTCACAGTCAGTAATTCATACTGTAACATTCGTTTGTTCGTTGTCAAGTTGCTGTTTGTTTGAAATAACAAACCTGTTCAGCCGAAAGAACACTCGACGAAGTGCTATTAGAAGACATCCTGTCATAGCTATTTGGTACATAATGGCTACCGTAGACGCAACGCGCATTTGAAAAAGCGAGGCGCTGGAGAGCACAATTCGTTTGAATGCAAAATACATTTTCACCGCTAGATGGGAGAAATTCCTACACATTGTCCCTTTAACTTATTTTTTTCATGTACAATCTATGTTTTTGTGTGCAGTACCTGCCGGAGACCAATTTTCTTACTGTCCCACATCTGTTTGAAATTCCAGAAGAACGGCTGTTCACACTTCTGGCACGAGTCACTGTCAAGCCACTCCGGGGTCTGAGATAAAGAACAGATGAGGACATGCTGAAACTATGTAAATAGACATATGTAACTAACATAAATATCACACATCCTGTTGACAGAGACAATCCCTTTTGTCCTAGATAATACTTTCTAGCTCTACATCTCTCTCACCTCTTGTCGTGTGACGTCCATGTTCCAGATAACTATTCCTCCATCTGAGCCACAGGAAATGAGCTGACGAGTGTGAGGAGCGTAACACAAGCCCTGCACTTTATCACTGTCGCACACACAGACAAAAATATTAGGACATGACACCCATGCTTTCTTAAGTCTCAAATCTTAAATACATGACAACAATTTATCCATGTCCTACTTGTGTCCCTGCAGTTCAATGGCTGTGCCTTTACGGCCTCCAATGTCCCACATGATGATTGAATGATCAGAACTTCCAGAGAATAAAACCCTTTGCACAGGATCCCAAGACAGTGACGTAACATTGCCTGCACACATACAGGGTCTATGTTAAACGATTCAATAAGATGTACATTTACAGTGTGCAGGGTTAGTTAGTTACAGTGCAAGTAATGGGATACTTCTTTCCATTATACAATATTATGTGGATGCATGCATGAAGATCAGTATATTTTGTGTATCATGTGGTTATGAGGACTTGAAGGCTTCTTAAATGGGGAAATAATTATATTTTAGTTTATGTTTGTACTTGAAGCCCAATAAAGTATTTACTTCATTCACTTGCTTGAAGTCCTCGAGATGTGTGAATGAATCTCTACACTTCAATTGACCAGCCAATGGAAAAATGTGTCTGGGCTAATGGTGAAAGATTGTGCTGACACCTGTGAAAAGTGTGTCTATTTGTAAAGTGCTGTTTGCGGAAGCACCTGTGTGGCCTTTAAAGGTGGTAACAAGGCTGCAGTTGTCCTGCTCCAGCTTCAGGATTGTCACTTGTCCGGAAAGATCTCCAACGAAGGCATGTCTGGTCTCCACATCAAATCTTACACAGATCGTCAAGAAGCCCACGCTATAAAATTTCAGAACCCCTCCTGAATCTCTTCTTATCCATTAATGATCTTCTATCATTGATTTCATTGGGATGGTCAAAAACATTGTGAGACATTTCTCATGTTCCACAGACTGTTTTGGAACACCATGAAGCTGAGTACATGATGACAGAATTTTCATTTTTGGGTGAACTATCTTTTTATCTAGTTATATTTGTAATATAAATTACACATAATTGGTGTTTTTGTTGTTGTGATTTCAAGCAGAAAAAACAAGCATTAATTTAAGGAAGCTTATTTCCTATAATAAAGCAAAAGTAAATTCAACCAAATCAAGTCTTTCATCAGAAGACAACACAAACTGCAAATAGTAAGTAAGATTCCATATTTTATAAAGACTGAATAAAAACTTGTGAGATAGTTCATATCTGAAGTGGCGTATGAATGGATACTGTAGTCCAGACACCCATGCTGTGGTCCTGTACGTGCCCAGCTGCTGTCCGCTCTCTGAGCAGTGCCATGTAAAGCTCTTGTCCTGACCTGTGCTTAGAACCCACTCCATCTCTAAGACGAACAGCACCACAGTCACGACACCCTGATGAGCTAACGCAAACAAAAGACAAAACACAATAAACAAAGCAGGAAGGGAGCACTTTACCACATTCAAAAAAAATTACATGGAATTATGCTTTCACATATAATATTAATAATACAGCAGAAAGTCAAATAATATCAGAGATTGAATTTCAGTAATGAACCAGCGGACTACAACCACAGCACTTATTATACTTCACTCTGTGCGTTTACTTCATTAATGTTTTCATTTATCTGTGTTGAGAGCATTACTTAATGCCTTGCGTTTTAAAGAAGGTTAGCTAGCTGTTTCACACTAATGTCATTCTAGGCCATAATGACACACTGTGATTGAGAGCTGAATGTTCAGAGTACGTACTGAATAATAAAGTTGCCCTGCATATATATTGGTTTATACAGAACTGACTACAATTAGGTACATGGCTATTAAAGGATTAATCGTCTATTGTTCTTTGGTTGCTGTCATAAGAATGGAACCGGAATATGAATCATCTGTATGTTTTAGAATAACATCCAAAAAGACCCCAAGTAATAAACTAGTTATATTTACTTAAAGGATAGTTCACCAAAATATTTTGAAAAAAAAAAAAAAATTATATATATAAGTGGTCATACAATGAAATTCAGTGGGATCCACAGAAGAAAGTAAGTCATACAGGTTTGGAACAACATGAGGGCGAGTAATGACAGACTTTACATTTTTGGGTGAACTATCCATTTAAGGATTAAAATGATTAATAAAAAAGCTAATCCCCAAAATGACCAGACGCTTTAGTAATTAGGCCTTTTTCCACATGTTCATATGATTTATATTAAGTTAAGAAAACAAACTAGATTTGTGACTCACCCTGATATGTTCGCGCAGGAGTCATCTGGTTGTAGTCCTCTGATAGGATAAACTCCTGGAAAGAGAAACTCCTGGCTTAATGAAGCTTAGGAATGTATCTTACAACCTGCTAGAGACATTTTGCTACATAGAAAACAGGTGTGTGTAAGAATACTGCAGCAGTGCCACTTATAATGTGGTTGACGATAATAAATATTTAATGAACATACCGATACTGTGCCATTTTCCAACCCTGCAGAGATCCTCCTTGTCTCTGGGTTAAATGACATACATGAACAAGCCACTGCAACATAAGAAAGACAATGAATACGAGATTCTTCTATCCTACAAAATCCATCGATCGCTTTTCAACTATAAACATAAACCCTCTACTGAGAGTCAGTGACCTCTTAGCCATAGTCTGCAATAGTTAAGTAGAAAGCAAGCAAAACCGTGACATCATTGTTGAGAAATAAAACTGCTGTCTGAACATGAACACAAGCAGAAGTTCATGCCCATACTGGTTTCACTTCACCTTTTTACTTTGATAGTAAAATTCCTGAAGTTATGTGGTTGCATGTCCCATAATGTTGAGATCTATGTAGCTGTTTTGGCTCTCAGAAAGCTGCCCAGGAACTGTGTTGGACTCACCAGGCATTGTGTGATAGACACTGGGCCAGTACTGACCACTGTCCCTCTTCAGCCACACACGGATTGTCCTAAAAATTATAACAAGCAAGCAAATAAATAAATAATCTTGATTATAAAATTTCATGTACAGGCCCTTCTCAAAAAATTAGCATATTGTGATAAAGTTCATTATTTTCCATAATGTAATGATAAAAATTAAACTTTCATATATTTTAGATTCATTGCACACCAACTGAAATATTTCAGGTCTTTTATTGTTTTAATACTGATGATTTTGGCATACAGCTCATGAAAACCCAAAATTCCTGTCTCAAAAAATTAGCATATTTCATGTGACCAATAAAAGAAGTGTTTTTAATACAAAAAAAAAAAGTTAACCTTCAAATAATTATGTTCAGTTATGCACTCAATAGTCAATACTTGGTCGGGAATCCTTTTGCAGAAATGACTGCTTCAATGCGGCGTGGCATGGAGGCAATCAGCCTGTGGCACTGCTGAGGTGTTATGGAGGCCCAGGATGCTTCGATAGCGGCCTTAAGCTCATCCAGAGTGTTGGGTCTTGCGTCTCTCAACTTTCTCTTCACAATATCCCACAGATTCTCTATGGGGTTCAGGTCAGGAGAGTTGGCAGGCCAATTGAGCACAGTAATACCATGGTCAGTAAACCATTTACCAGTGGTTTTGGCACTGTGAGCAGGTGCCAGGTCGTGCTGAAAAATGAAATCTTCATCTCCATAAAGCTTTTCAGCAGATGGAAGCATGCAGTGCTCCAAAATCTCCTGATAGCTAGCTGCATTGACCCTGCCCTTGATAAAACACAGTGGACCAACACCAGCAGCTGACATGGCACCCCAGACCATCACTGACTGTGGGTACTTGACACTGGACTTCAGGCATTTTTGCATTTCCTTCTCCCCAGTCTTCCTCCAGACTCTGGCACCTTGATTTCCGAATGACATGCAAAACTGAGCAACAGTCCAGTGCTGCTTCTCTGTAGCCCAGGTCAGGCGCTTCTGCCGCTGTTTCTGGTTCAAAAGTGGCTTGACCAGGGGAATGCGGCACCTGTAGCCCATTTCCTGCACACGCCTGTGTACGGGCGCTCTGGATGTTTCTACTCCAGACTCAGTCCACTGCTTCCGCAGGTCCCCCAAGGTCTGGAATCGGTCCTTCTCCACAATCTTCCTCAGGGTCCGGTCACCTCTTCTCGTTGTGCAGCGTTTTTTTGCCACACTTTTTCCTTCCCACAGACTTCCCACTGAGGTGCCTTGATACAGCACTCTGGGAACAGCCTATTTGTTCAGAAATTTCTTTCTGCCTTACCCTCTTGCTTGAGGGTGTCAATGATGGCCTTCTGGACAGCAGTCAGGTCGGCAGTCTTACCCATGATTGCGGTTTTGAGTAATGAAACAGGCTGGGAGTTTTTAAAAGCCTCAGGAATCTTTTGCAGGTGTTTAGAGTTAATTAGTTGATTCAGATGATTAGGTTAATAGCTCGTTTAGAGACCCTTTTCATGATATGCTAATTTTTTGAGACACGAATTTTGGGTTTTCATGAGCTGTATGCCAAAATCATCAGTATTAAAACAATAAAAGACCTGAAATATTTCAGTTGGTGTGCAATGAATCTAAAATATATGAAAGTTTCATTTTTATCATTACATTATGGAAAATAATGAACTTTATCACAATATGCTAATTTTTTGAGAAGGACCTGTATTTAGCAGAACCTATACTTGCAACATGACATGCAATACACTGCACAAATTACCCAGACGGACAGTTAAGAACACGTCGCTGGCTAAGATTTAAGTCCTAAAACCTTAATCGCCAGACACAATAAGACTTCAAATTAAATTTGGCTGCCAAGTAAAAATAAATAAAAATAAAAACATAGCCAGGATAAGGGTTGCCAAAATCATTGGTGTTTCTTAAGTTTAGTTATTTTTTAAAGAAAAAAGGATACAAGAAAATATGAAACACACACACACACGCACATACACACACACACACACACACACACACATAACTCTTTAATCCATTAACCAAAAAAATCATACATAATATGGTCATTCATCATTTATATGGTCATTAATCATTTTTATACTTTATTAATAGCCCTGAAACTAGACTGACAGCGAGCAATCGTTCACAAACAAAATGTTTCGTTCGGCCAGTTCGTTCACGAAAGAGATTCAATGTCGCTCCGAATCTTTTTGTAATTCAAAACAGCGATTTTTTTTTTTTTTTCAGTTAGGGCTTTCTGATCATTTCTGTCAGTCTTTAAACTGGCAGGAAAAGGTAGTCACGCGCTTCAAAGGGTTCACAAAATCGTTCATTTAAAAGATTCTCTCAAATACACTGATTCGCCCACGACACAGAAAAGATCCGCAGGCGAATGATCAGCAATACAGCAAATACGTACAAACGGAGATCATCGATAGCAGCAGCAAATGAGCTGTACGTGTTTGCATATTACAGCCTCTTCATTATTATCCTCCATTTGCTATGACAAGCATATTCTTTAGTCCTCCGAATATCGTTTATTCAACCAAAACAAAAAATAAATCGATCATACAGGACACATGTATTTTATGTTACAATGTATTATTGTGCGTGCCAGTGCTGCTTATAAGAGTGTTGTATACATGACGTGTTTTGCGTATTCTGCATTGTAATTTTAGGAATTGCTTTGGGTTTCTAATCATACGCGTGCTGCTGACCTGTCTTGAGATACGCTGATAACCCCGTCCTCTTTGGGGATGATCACAGCCGTATTCACCACATCTTGGAAACCCTCGATCTTACTCAACAGGACGGGCTTTCGCGTCTGCGGACGGGGAATCTCTGCCGCCATGGCGCTGTTGTTTCTCCGTCACCTGAATCCACCTCTCTCGGCTGCATAACACGCTCGCTCTCTGAGCCTGAGCGCTGAGCGCAGGTCGATTATTAGACCTGCAAGCACGGTGAAGTGTGACGAGCAGGGATGCTGCAGGTCAGCTGATTACCTCTCACACAATTTTTTGTTTAGTGAAACACGATCTCTATGCCATGTTATCTGAATACATAAGCGTGTTCTTCTCTCTCTCTGCCCGTGTAACCAGACGATCCGACTTTTGAATGAATCACAGATGTATGCGTTTGCGATGTGCAGTGTTGACTCTGACGAATACCAAATGTGTAGAACAGGAAGTTGAACGTCATTCTTTTTTTCCACTTCATTGACATCGACATTTGTACAAGATAAGCATTGTTTAATTGCACCAAATCTTGTACAAAGGTGCAACTTGTACATTTGTTCAATGCGTGTATAATTAATTTAATCCTTTATGTTAGTTTAGTCTGTTTTCTTTTTTTTTCTCAACATTTTTAAATAATACTTGGATCTAAACAATAAAAACACAGAGTGGAAATTGTTCTATTTATAGTTCGGCTTTATATCATGTGCATACAGACACCACAGAACTATTGTTCATTCTCTTATCTCTACAAGAAAGCCTAACTAAATGTCTGCATCCCTTACTTTTAATGAGTTTTGTCTTGTAAGTGTTCTCCCAGGTTTTTTATATCCCAAATCATTTAGCTGATTATGTCACCAATAAACATGTCATTCATGCACACATGCTGGCTCATATTGTTTGGTAACATAATAAATGTGTTCTTCTGTTGTCTTTGTTTTAAAGAAGTTCCCTGCTGTTTGTCACTTCGTATAAAAAGAGAGCAAGGGCTTCCAAAGACCAACAACTACTAGCAAAAAACAAACATAGAATATATAAATGAGTATAAACTGATTTTATCCAGCAAATCATTATTTACAGAAATTAAAAAAGAAGTAAAAAATATAAACTGTATAAACTGTCTAACTTTTAGTAGAGACTTAGAGACTCTTTGAATAAAAAAGCTATAAAGACTTTAAAAGTTTGAGAGCTTTACAGAGTATTTATTTGATAAATACCATTGTAAAAAATAAATACTTTATATTTATTTTTGTATTAGTTTTTTCTTTTTTATGTTTTCTTTTTGGATGCATAATCCAGTATCTGCATTTGAAAGTGCATCTAATGTGTATGCAATAAAAAAATTAAATGTTTACAAATGCGCATGCTCCCGTTGAGCTTCGTTTTTTGAGAATATGCTAATGATTGATTTTCAGGTGCCAATCAGCTGAGGCGTTTGGACGCACGCTACTCGGGCAGGGCTTTGGAGGCGGAGTCAAGTGCTGAACGCAGAATAAAACCACTGCAGCCCGCGAGCAGATCTCAGAGTGAGGAGAATCATGGACGTAAACTAAACAGAAAGTTACCATGATAAAAGTTAGGCATTTCTTTCAAATTACAACAACAACACCCGTTTCCCTTGTAAATCAACAACCTTTCTCCCCCCAGGGTCTGAGGTTTGCTCAAGTTTACAAGGCATCGATCTTTCAACACTAACTACAGTTACACTCTGACAGAAAGAATGCGCGAGACAGTTAGCATTAGCCGGCTAGCAGCGTGCTGACAGCAGCGACAGGAGGCGAACAAAAGATTTCTCGGCATTTGTCCGCTTGCATTGACACTCGGTCCATGTAGAAGGGGCGATTATCAACACAATGCCCGTGTTACTTTTTTTGATAGACACGTCCGCCTCCATGAACCAGCGCTCCCACTTGGGCACTAGCTATCTGGACATAGCGAAGGGCGCAGTTGAGACTTTCCTGAAGGTAAATGAATACACGTCTCTGCTCCACATTCTTACTTTACTGAAAACTTATAAAAAACCTACGTTTCCATCCACTTTCCACAGCTGAGGAGCAGAGATCCGGCCAGCAGGGGAGACAGATACATGTTAGTGAGTTTCGAGGAAGCACCGGCAGGAATTAAGGTACAAACTATTTTATTTCTTTCCAAACCTGTTTTATTTCACTCCAGACACTTTAATCACTCGCTTCATCTGTTTGCGTTTCAAAACACCACGTCTAAATTTGTGTTGTGAAAACATTCTGCCCAGCATGAATTTGTGTTTAAACATGGCCGACATTTTGTTCAGTGTGGCAGCAGAGAGCTGTGTGTGTGTGTGTTTGTGTGTTTGAGGAAAGAGAGATGGGGGACTAACTTAGTTTTCTCACCCAGAGAGGGAGAGAGAGGACTCTCTACTCTACATTATTGCCTCAGCCAGTTTCAGATAAATGTGTCTGCCTGAAGGGATGTGATGTGAGGATCTCGTTAGAAGCATAACTAATCATTTGCTGTGTCTTGATATTTCAGGCAGGATGGAAGGACAGTCATGCCACTTTTATGACCGAGCTGAGGAACCTGCAAGCAGTTGGATTGACATCGATCGGCCAGTCTTTAAGGACCTCTTTTGATTTGCTCAATCTCAATAGATTAGTTTCGGGGATAGACAACTATGGACAGGTATGTTATAAACCAGGGACTGGTATAAAGTCTGTGGCCTAACCCCATGAGCCCATCCCCAACATCTCACAGTTAAACAAGCACCCAATAGGCTCACACTGTGCCAACACTGTGCCAACACAATCCCAAGGGCCCCTGGTGACACACTGTAGTAATAAGTAAACTACATCGTGGATGCAAATAAGGGCGATGGCTAACTGAAGTGGAACCTGATTATGCTGTGAAAGTGTACTCTAGTTAAAATTGTTCCAGGTTGAGTGTCATTTTAATTCATTGGTTGTAAACACAAAATTCTCAGAAATTTTCTAGAGGACAGTTCTTGTATTTCTGCATGTTGAGCTGGGAAAATGCAACATTTCCCCACACAGATTTAGTGTTTTTTTTTGTGGTAGTTGAACAAACTCAGGGTTACGAGATTAGTTTTGCGTTGACAAAACCAAAACTATCCGGTTAAGCTTTGTTTGTAGTACCATGACACTGATCATCAACTTCCTCTCTACTCAGATTTTGATCCTGAGTTCATGAAATTTGTTCACATGAAAGTGACATTAGTAGTGAACAGCCAATCACATGCCTTAAAAATATTTACTTCTCACAAAAGAGTCGGCGCGATTCATTTATCTTCGACTGAAGATTAAGAGATTGAAGAATATAAATTATATAAATGTATTTAAACAGCAAGAAGAACCTTGTCTATGAAAGAGGACAACTAAAAGAAAACATTTTGCGTTATCAGTACAAGGGAAAGTTGTCAAGTTTATATAGTGGATGAACATGTAAGCTCATGTTTTACTTTTTAAAGCTTTGATATTTGTTTTTGTATGCATTTATAAACATTTAAACTAAATGCGTAATCGTTTAACTAAAATTTCTCATGTCTAATGGATTAAGGGTATAATAATTATATAAATCATACAAAATAATTATTATCATCACTGAAAGCCAGATGATTTTGCCTTAAATTTTTTCTATGTAATGACCTTTTATTTGGAGCAAGAGAAACTGGGAGAGTGACTTTATTGCATCAGAGCTGTGTCACTTTGCTTACAGCTGATTGGTCTGCAAACCTTTGGGTTTGCTATCTCTTACCCAGAACATATCATGCTTCGGTTATGACAATATATTCTGTCTCTGATTTTATTATTGGCATGTAATAGAGCTGCATGTAGTGACATGACACAAGAAAAACGGGGTCATTAAATCTTTCCCCTGCCTGTGGTAAATTTAGACTCAAACTCTCTATATTATTGTATTGCATTGTAATGAATCTCTTTTGTTTCTGGTTTACGTGTTTGTTTAAGAATGACATCCATAAAATCTGCACTGTGCTGAAGATACAATTTAATGTAATCATTGAAAGAGCAGAGCATTTAACTGATTGAGTATACATTATTTTATCAGTGCATAGATGTCATATTTTAGATTCGTATAATGAAGTCAGTGTGTTAACATCAAAAAGAGTGGGTGTATGAAGCTATGCCTTTGTCTAATGAGCTCCACTGCAGGTGCTCAGTTTTTATGGGTTTTTTTATTATTTTTATTTTGTCTTGTGTTTTGCAGGGTAGAAACCCTTTTTTCTTGGAGCCAGCTATCATTTTGGCCATAACTGATGGCAGCAAGCTAACCAGCAGTTCTGGGGTGCAAGATGAGGTGGGTCATATGTCCGTATGGGCTGGACTTAAGGACTCATGATAACATCCTGTCTAGTCGTGGGTTTCCTATTTTTCTTTTGTGCTTTCTATCCCCTGCTTGTTTTTCCCCCCCACTTAAACGTGTTCCTCTTGATATAGTTTGCTCCTTCCTTCCCATATCTATCTTCCGTTGTTCTCTTTAACAGTATGACTTGTAGATCTGTAAAAGTAACAGTCTCTAGCTTGTAAAATGAGAAATATCCAAGTCAGTGTCTCCTACAGGAATTTGTTCCCCCAGGGATTTTTCCATTTATGTGTTGACATGTGAATTAATTCATCCTTTTTCTCTGCTCCAGTTGCATTTACCCCTGACAACACCATTGCCTGGCAGTGAGCTGACCAAAGAGCCCTTCAGATGGGACCAGCGACTCTTCTCTTTAGTGCTCCGCATTCCAGGCCACTCCTCTCCTGACCCTGAACCATTGGGTGGAGTTCCTCTTGACTCTTCTCCTATTACACCCATGTGTGAGGTCACCGGGGGTGTGTATGCGTTTTACCTATTTAAGTTAAAATTTTATCACAGAAAGACAAAGGTGTAGAATAGAAAAGGTAATGGACTGCACGTTTTAAAAGTGAACTCAAATTAAAGTGTAACATCGTCGATTTTCCACCTGCTTTTTGTTACAATGCTGGTAGTATATATAAAAATTAATAATCAGGGCTTGACATTAAGCCTTTTCATGTGCTTGTCCTTCGGACAAGTAAATCTGTCATTCAAGTGTCAGAGTAAAAAAGTTGCTTATCTGCAGTTCTTCTTTCTTTCTTTTTTTGTGTTGTAAATATAAATTATTCTGAAGCAATTTTCTCATCAGTGTTCAATCAGCTTTGAGATATTTAAATCTGCA